TCACCCCTTTAATGTAGTCTCATCCAGACCCGCATGCACACACACACCTACAGCAATTAAACAGTAAGTGGTTGGACATCAATTATAGCAGATGTCTAAAAAAAAATTCAAGCTTTGGCTCTTAAAGGAGAAAGACGGCCAGAATAGTAATATGAAAATAATTCTAAACAGGCAATGTCACAAAAGCTTCAAAAAACAAAAAAACTGAAACCTTGCCTTTTGTCTCTCTACAAAAAAAAAAAAAAAAACCCTACTTTCACAAGGAATTCACTACATGACCAGCATTATGTTAGGTGCTACTGTTGAGAAAATTAAAATCAGATTTGGATGATACTGACCCCGAACAGGTGCAGTCTGAAGAGTCTAATTGTGCATTAGAAACCATAAATGAAGGGAATCTTGCAAAAGAGCCAGGTGGAAAGCCAGGTGGAAAGCATGGGATAGGACACTTCAGACAGGAGGGCGAGAAGGAGCCACAGCTGGAGAAAGGCAGGAATGATGGGACTCACAGGCACATACATCCACTTGGAGACGGAATACACTCAACTTCCCCTACACACAACCAGCCTGGCCTAACCACCTATGTTCTGGGAGTGAAAACACTGCAGTATCACAGAACAGCACCTGGATCTGCAGTGGGTTTCCAGATACCTTCCCCAAAGTGAAACACATGTCCAAAGGTCACCACAGCATGAACCCAGAGCTCATACTGAGAAACACTAAAATAGTCTCAAGGAGTTCCGAGTGATAGGAAATTTTCTCAGAGAGAAATGCTTTCTCCCAGGTGAGACTTGACAGCTGGAGAGGAGGCTGCTGCTACTGTTTGCAGGGACTGTGTTTACAGACACCGAGAATATATTGTGAATCATGAAGAGTTATATATATCAATATAAAAGTAAATCATGAAGAGTTACTGAACCTGTACACAATGAGAATTGCAGCCAATTCTCAGTCATTAAGTACAGAGATGAGATACACAGCAATACATACACACAAATACATGTGCAAATCTGAACACCAGAACCTTAACTGACTTTGTGATTGGGTGTAAAGGTAGACCTGGAAACCTGGGCATTAACCAAGGGTCATGCAAATGAGAGTTGGTAATCCTACCCATCCTCTGCAACTTCTACCCTCTATTAAGATTTTTCTGAGCTAGCCTAAGGCATCTCTCCCACCTTGGAACTTTCAGAACAATTAGTCTGTATAATTACTTGGCAAAGAATCACCTGAGTTCTCTAACGTTTAACTCTGTAGTTTTCCTGACCTACTATTTAAGTCACTAGAAATAGATAACTTTACTCCCTATCTTCATTGACACAGCTCTTTGAGAAGTAAGGTACATATCTTATAGCTCTTTGGACCCTGTCACCTTACCTCCTAGTGTACCCTGCTGTAGGGTAAAGAAAATGTCAGGCTTTTCTGCCCTTCCGCCATCAGGATAGATGATGGATCCTTGTCCTGAATGCATGCCTGATGGCGGGCACCTGGAATAGGGTGTGGGCATAGGTAGATGGGATTCAGCTGAGCTGAGACTGTGCTTTTAAGGGCGGCGTCACGGGGGGACGCCAGCAGCAGAAGCAGCAGCAGCAGCAGCAGCACCAGCAGCAGCACCAGCAGCACCAGCACCAGCACCAGCAGCAGCAGCACCAGCACCAGCACCAGCAGCAGCAGCCGCCGCAGCCGAAGCCGAAGCCGAGAAGCAGCAGAACGAACGCTAGAGAGCCCAGATAGAGTGAGGACTTGCTGGGGGCTGGGAGGCCTGCCAGCCTCCCAGCCCCCCAGCCAGCACCCCTGCCTGCCATATGCCTGGTGAACCCCAAATAAAAAACCTGCAAAACTACTGAGGACTCTGACTCCTCCTTTACCCGGTCTGCATGGGATCAGAAAACCTGCACTGTGCCCATGTCCTGACCTTACAATTGGCGTAAGTCGGCAAGATCCATGTAGACGGGTATTGGAGCCCTCCGAAGACCTGGAGGGACTAAGGAGAACAGACTGTTTGCCTGTGATCATGCTGGAGGCGCCATGGCGGCACAGAAGGTGGACAACGCCCACGAGCTACAGGACGAGACCTGGCGTGAAGGAGACGCCCAAAAGGACCAGCCAACGACACCGGAAAGGACCAGCCACCAACACCGGAAAGGACCAGCCAATGACCCCTGAGGCAGCAGGCCATTGCTGACGCAGGGAGAGGCCAATGGACTTGAACTGATGGACTGATGGACTTGGACTGACAATCCCGCCAGAAGGCGGAGGACCTTGCAGGTTGATATGTTTTGGGACCCTGGGGGTGGAACAGTTTTGTTTGTAAACCCCAGGAGATGGGAATCTAGGGGTGGCCAGTGGGCCTATATGGCCAAAAGCAGCCTGTGTATGCCCAGCAGCCAGGTGGAGGAGAAAAGCCAACTAAGAAAGCAAAAGCTGGTACTGATGATAAGTTGAGAAGCCCTGAGCGGCTGTTAAGCAGCCTTGGTATGCTGAAGAACTGTGAGTCTCGTAAAATCACCTGTGGGTGATGCCCTGCTCATTCTTGAGCGAGGGTGAGGAGCTGAGGAACCTGTCCTTGGGGGACGGGTGGGGAATGTGGCTTGGGGTGGAGCCCAAGCCGAATGCAGAGTTTGGATCCCCGACCCATGTGATTGTGCAGTGGGTTGGCCTGAGTGCAGGGGTCTGCGAGTCGCATGGGTGGCCATGAAGGCCGAGTGTTGGAGCGACTGCAGACAGAAACCCTGAGGGTTGGCGATTACCCCCAACAGAATAAAATTGCCAGTCCCAGAGCTAGTGCATCCTGGGGGTGGATGCTGTGTGTGCCTTGCAGCCGAGACTACAGCCAGAGAAGGCCAGGAAACCTGACGGCTCCTGGTGTGATATAGTAGATGCCGTGAGTGATTCCCCTCCCTCGTATGAGCAGTGCCTTCGGCAGCAGATTTGGTGGCTTATCTGCTGGTACCAATAATTGTCTTTTGCACTAGGTTGGTGCCCTGCCTGGACTTATTTGTGTTCTGTTGTATTTTGTTATATTGTATTTTGTTATATTTGATGTATTTGCTTTTGTGGGCTGCATTGTTTGTTTGCTTAGAAAATTGTATATATATGTATAGACTATGGCAGAAAACCCTGAGGGGGTGGACTGTAGGGTAAAGAAAATGTCAGGCTTTTCTGCCCTTCCGCCATCAGGATAGATGATGGATCCTTGTCCTGAATGCATGCCTGATGGCGGGCACCTGGAATAGGGTGTGGGCATAGGTAGATGGGATTCAGCTGAGCTGAGACTGTGCTTTTAAGGGCGGCGTCACGGGGGGACGCCAGCAGCAGAAGCAGCAGCAGCAGCAGCAGCAGCAGCCGCCGCAGCCGAAGCCGAAGCCGAGAAGCAGCAGAACGAACGCTAGAGAGCCCAGATAGAGTGAGGACTTGCTGGGGGCTGGGAGGCCTGCCAGCCTCCCAGCCCCCCAGCCAGCACCCCTGCCTGCCATATGCCTGGTGAACCCCAAATAAAAAACCTGCAAAACTACTGAGGACTCTGACTCCTCCTTTACCCGGTCTGCATGGGATCAGAAAACCTGTACTGTATCCAGTCCTGCCCTTACACCTGCACAATGCAGAATTAAATTGCAAAGTTCTCTCTCTGCACATAGGAGTTAAGTTAGGCTCACTTTAACAATTTCACACACAGAGACTTTGTGACCAAAGATAAGCGAAAGCAAAACAGGATAGAAAAATCTTGGAGACTTATTATTCTACAAATTATGAACCTCCCACACATTGGCTAGCAAAAGGTCAATTTGCAGTAGGTAGGTGTGAAATTCAGGTCTTTGCTTCTGCCCTGTGCTCTAGAACATAATGAGGTTGGACCAAGGGCAGATGAATATGTCTACGGGCTTGCAATTTCAAAGGTTAATACTGAGAATGTGTTAAGTGCCCAAAAGAAATGATTTTCACTTTATAAGCTATGGAGTGATATTTAGCTATAAACCTTACAAGAAATGAGGTGAAAACTTCCAGGACACATGTGTGTGCATATATGTGTGTGCATCCGCGCGCGCGCGCACGCACACACACACACACACACACACACACATCCAAACTCAGTTATTTTGAAACTCCATTTACTGTAATTTTTTTTAATGAAAGTACTTTAAAGCTCTGCTTATATATTATTCTGTCAAAAGTGAAGAGTCACATAGAGAAAACTCTCTAAAACAAATCTGTCTTTAAGCCCATTTTGGGGATTTGAGTCGCGACTACATTTTCAGGGATACAAGGGCTCCATCCATAACTCCTTGAAAAAATTGAAACCATGAATGCCTTGTCAAATTCAGACAGTTTATCTTGGCACTGGCAAGCAGTGCAGTCTCTTCGATGTCTGGAAACGTGTCTAATTACGTTTTGAGAGTAACTAAAAAAAAAAAAAAAAAGCCAGCGTCCCGGAACAGACAGCTCAGAGATCACTCCATGGCATCCTGAATGACATGATGGAACCACGCCAGGAAAAAAGAGAGAGAAAGAAAAAGAAAAGAAGCAAGTGTGAAGCCGGGATGAGCCCCAAGCCTCTCTCCAAAACAAGCCTCCAGCCTTCCCTGGGCTTTCCGGGCCTCCACGGGTCTCCCTGAAGTTTTTATTTCCCTTCACTTGTGTTTCCATTAGGTCATCCGGCTCGCCCACATCACTCACCTGGGGCAGCGCACCAGCCTGAGTTGCCCCAAGCGCTGCCTCCAACTCGGCTCAACCCTTACACCCACCGTCCAGACAGCACCCAGGAACAGCCCCCCTAAGGAAGACGCGACTCTGGAGCTCGACACGCCCCTCACTTGCAAGCAGCCGCGCCCCGGGGCGTCCCCTCCCGGGAAGGCGCAACCACTGAGCTCAGCGGACCCCGGGATAACCCAACACCGCTGCGCTCCATCCCTGCAGCTCGGGGCGCCCCTGACACCCCTACTCCCGCCGCCCCGCAGGGGAAAGCGCCGCCCCGCACCGCGACGCACTGTCGCTCCGCCCTCACCTGAGTCGGAGGTTGGCCATGAACTCGGGCATGGAAACGGTGTCCATCAGCACGAAGTCCGCCTTGCCGAACTCCAGGCTCTCCTGCTCCGCCATGGCGCCGGCGCGCGGGCTCAGGTGGACGCCGACAGGCTCAGGTAGGCGCGCGGGGGCTGGGGTCGCGCAGCGAGCTCGGGCGGGGCCGGGGCGGGGCCGCGGCGCCGGGCGCGGGGGAAGGGGCTGGGGGAGAAGAGGCGGCGGGGCAGGGGTGTCGCGCGCCGCTCCACGGGGCTGGGCCGCACGGAGGCCGCCCCGCTGCTCTTCGGTGCGCTCTCGGCCGGCGCGGCGCACCCAGCAGTTTCCGCTTCTCCCGGCGGCTGCCCGGCGCTGTGAGGACGGGACTCCGAGACCGAGACGGCGGCGGCAGGTCCCGCCTCTGGCTGGGCCCGGCCCCGCCGCCCGCCCCGCCCCGCCCCGCCCCGCCCAGACCCGGCCCCTCCCGCTCCGCCCCCCGCCGCCCCGCACGCCCCTCTCCGCCCGCCCGCCCGCCGGCCAGGAGCCCGCCCCCGCCGGGGCGCAGGCCGCAGCCTCCTCACCTGGGCGGCGCGTCCGCGAGGGCCGGGAGGCGGGGGCGCGCCGGGCCGGGCGGCAGCTGCTGGGCGGCAGCGCCCCCTGGGGACAGGCGCTGGGATCTGGGGGCGGTGCCGAGGAGTGCGGACGTTTGGGTGGCATCGGGTTTCAGGGCTGCAGCCTCCCGCCGGTGTTTGGTAGATGCCAACGAAGTGACAAAAGTCGTTTGTGGAGCTTTTCGCAAGGATTATTTACATAAATGAATTCATTTTATTTTTTCTTCCTGCCGCGAAGCCTACCCCTGGTCTTCTGGCCTGGTCCTCTCCATCCTCGAAATGATGGTTGACGCTCAGACTGGGATGTAATAGCCAGCACTTGGGAACACCCATAATACCAGAGCTGCTCCCGCCTTAGAAAGCTTAAGTCACTTGCCACAGGGCTAGGACGTGGAGAAGCTGATTTTTATCCAGGTCATTTGATTTATGAACCCCAACGTTTAACTACATGGCCTACTGCTTTTCGTCTTCAATGTTCCATGGTTCGTTTTTCTCTTTTAGTCATCTGAGCATGCCATGAAACATTACCTTATATTGTCATTGTTTTTCATAGCTGCGCGTTTCATTGCTCTAGGATTGTTGTAGACTTCTGGGTGGGGGCCATGTCCTAGAAATTCTCCATACCTCTCCCTTTCACCCACCCAATAGCTTCTGTACTGTCTCCCACGTGTGGATGTGAGATCCACACTGGTTCGTTGGCATGGAATGAGTTGTAAGTGGTCTCCAATTTATAGGCACGTTGGTTGAGCTTGAAGATTTCTTTTGGGACTGAGACTGCATTTTCCTAATGAAAATAAAAACAGCTTTCTAGGGCAGCTGCCTCTCTTCTGTCCTGTTTCCATTAGGACTGTCTTCTATCACAAAATTTGCTATGAAATCTAGAGTTGCCTGAAGACCTGACTAGGTTCAACTCTGTGGCTGGATTTGAGATGAGTAAAGCAGATTGAAGGACCCTGCTCAAGGCCTGTTTCAGCTGCCAGCAACCCCCCTTACCAAGGGGAAGGGGAAGGTGATTTGAGCATTTCCCAAGAAAGCACCTCTACCCTCAAAAACACACCTCAGCCTCTAGCACAGGCAGAACTAGATTGCATCTATCATTAGCATCTGTCCTTTGGAAGACACTCTGGATCTTGGTGTCATCGTTTGTGGAGTCGGAAGTCTGGACTAGACAGTTCCAAGGTAAGACTGTCCTTAGGTTGCTCATTTGTGTGAGTCAGTGGTTAAGCAGGTAATTTCATAGGGCATGGTTTATTCCTAAAGTGCTTGTATTGGTACATTTTAACATAAGTAGAAGAGAATTTTAAAAAGAAAAGAAAGAAATAGTTATTATGTGAAGAGAAGTGGGAGGAGTGGGTAAGTCAGGTTAAAGGGGTTGTACGGTGAAGGATGGAAACTAGACTTTTAATGGTGAACCTTATGTGGTATTTGCAGGTGTTGACTTAGAAGGCTGTACACCTGCCACCTGTGTAATCTTATAAGCCAATGTTATTTCAATAAAAAAATTTAAAAAGAAAGAAATCTCAGATTTTGTGGAATTTAGAGCAACTAATGATCAGAACCAGTGTTCCATAGGAAAATGAGTATATGTGTAGTCCCTGGTCACGTGGTTATCAGAGCAAAAGGGATTGTACAGTGGGTAGCATCTGGAGCGGGAGGTAGCTGTGGCTTTCAGATGACCAAAGCAAGGGTAATCTTGCCTTTATCAATATCTTGCACAAAAGCCCAACATATACAACGTATGCAAAGGCATTATACAATGAGCCTCGTCTGATGAACCCAAGTCTGTCCAGTGTGTCTCACTGTCATCATAAATCAGCCTGAAGAGTCCAATTACCTTTTGTCTGTTATTTAGGTTGTACAGTATCAAGAAAATTCTGATTTACATGGCTAACTGGAAATTTCTTCCTCATGCAAATTTATATCCAGCCTTTTTAAAAATCAATGCACAGCTGCAATCTTATTAATCAGTGATATTTATAAGAAGCGCCAATATATTCATGCAGAAATGGCAGGAGAAACTAAACACTGACATCTGCATTCAAATAAGGTAAGATGGTATCTCATTAATAACGTGTAAGATGATATCTCATTGTAGTTTTGATTTGCAATTCCCTAATAACAAGTGATGTTGAACATTTTTTCATATGCCTGTTGGCCATTCGCATTTCCTCTTTGGAGAAGTTTCTTTTTATCTCTTCTGTCCATTTCTTGACTGGATTATTTACTTTGTTTTTGTTGAGTCTCGTCAGCTCTTTGTAGATTTTTGTGCTCAGTTATAGCAGGAATTTAGAAGACCCAAATAAGGGATCAGGAAAAAGACTAATTGTAATAATGTAAAAATGAAAATCAACAGGCAGCTATAATCCAGAGACACGGTATGGGGGGGAGAAGGGAGTAGGATCAAAACAAGGATGGTGGGAATTTTACGGGTACTATAACCAAGATGAAAATGCATACATTGTACAAAAATGAAAAATGATGTAAAAAATATGTAAAATTAAAAAAAGAAATTTATCATAAAGAAATGGTAAATAAATCCACATTAAGAGGCAGTCTACAAAACAGCTAATCTGTGCTTTAAAAAAAAAAAAAAACACAACACAATGGCATGAAAGACAAAAAAAAAAAGCATGAGGCACTATCCTGGGTTGAAGGATCCTAAAGGCATTGTGTGACTTGGGCTGGATCTTGGAACACAAATAAGCAAAGGATATTATTGGGATAATTGGTGAAATTCAAATACAGACTGTATAGTAGATAGAAACATAGCATCACTGTTCGTTTTTCTGAACTTTATCACTGTACTGTGGTCCTATAAGAGATTGTCCTTTTTCTTAGGAGAGATCATCTAAAGTAGTTAGGGATGAGAGGCATGATGCCTCAAGTGGGCAAAAGCAGTGATGATGATGATGGTGATGATGAGTGTGTATGGGTGTAGGCAGATGGATAAATATGGAAAAAGCAAGGGTAGCAAAATATTAACAATTGATGAATATAGTCCAAGAATATATGGAAGCTTTTTTTTGCACTAATCTTGCAACTTTACTGTAAGTTTGACATTATTTCAAAACAAAGTTAAATATAAAATAATAACCTAAAGCCTTCTAAAATTTAAAGCTTATTTCCAGAGATCAAATAACACTTAGAAACGACAGTCACATCTGAAGTTTGCAGACCTTTCAGCACTAAAAGCCAGCATACGCTTTGAAAACTCTGGCATTAGTTCTGGTTGCCATTGATGTGTTAAGAGATTGTGTACAGTGAACAGTACCAAAAGCAAAAATACTTTAGTGTGTAGCTTAGTTGTTAAGTAAGGTCATATGCCCCAGAGAAGGTATATTCTCTACTTGGTTAATAGCTATAGAACTGACATTCCAAGAACATGTCTATATACTCGAGATCACATCTTTTTCTAAAAAAAGATTTATTTATTTTTATACAAGAACCAGGGTACAGGCCAGATGTGCGGGAGGGTGAGAGGATTCACCAGAGACAGAGCGGGTAGCAGAACAGGCAGACTGACGAAATACACTGCTGAGGGGAGCAGTGGGCGAGACAGGAGAGGTCTGCTTCGCCATGTGGGATTCTCGCTGGACGGCCGGGATCAAACCAGTGCTGCAGAGGCTGCGGACAGCTTGGCTTCACAGTGTGGCGCTCAACCGCCTGCACCACCAGGAAGGCCCCTACTCAAGGTCACATCTTCTAGTTTGCTTTCCAAAGCCCCTCTCCTCCTGCTGTTCATAAAATAAGATGACATGAAGATGCACAATGGGACCCTCCAACTCGTCCCAATTGACTGGGTTCATTCTGGAGCCTCTCTAAAATTAGAAACAACATGAGCAGAACTGCTATCCAAATTCTAACAACCTGAACCCTAAAGATCTGCTATAGAAGAGTTTCATTATTTCAGAACCCACAAAACATAGGAGACCTCAGAGACCTTGTTATCCAAATCCCACTCAATGCCTGGATCCGCTACAATGTGCTAAATGCTTGGGCATGCTTGGGCTATTTGACTCATTAGGCCTTCTCCAGGCCGCTCAGACATCAGCCCAAGAAAAGCAGGCCCCAGCCCCCTTTTACTAAGTCTTGCTTTTGAGTCATAGACTCATTCTGCTGCCAGCTCTCAAGTGTTTGGGCTTCTCTTGTTACACATTATTCCTATTTATTTGCTTGGTTTGTCCTTTGGATCTGATATTCCACCAAAATAAGACCAGGTTGAAGTGAATGGTAATGAAGGAGGGAAGTCAAGCTTATGGTCTGTTAAGGAAGAACTTCCTATTTTTTTCTTATTTTTGTCTATCGAAACCAAATTCTATTTTTGCTGATCTCTTTGATTTGCCTTCTCAATGTCTAAGTGCTGTGTCTGACTGTGCTTACCTCTTAATCACGTCACAGTCACTTTCTCCTAGTGTTCCTGTCCTTTGCAAGTCTTCGATGAGCTCATTTGTACTGAATAGGATTTGGTTCTGAGGAGCATTTCCCCAGTACTTGGGAGGTAGTAGCAATGCTGGGACACCAGATTTTAGATAACCTGTACCAGAGGCATAGGATGGGGCTGGGGGATCTTCATTTTAATGAGAAGTCCAGGAGATTTAGTGGGCAGGGGGCCTCACTTGAAGAAATATGGGTGTGTCTGATATCAGACACACCACAGTTCAATTCCCCGCTCTGCAATTTGCCAACTGTGTGACTATGAGCAAATTAGTTCACCTTTATAGACCTCAGTTTCCTCATCTTTATTAAAGATGAGATGCCATTCATAAAGTACTGCATATAAATTAAGGCAGATGGTTTACAATAAATATAAGCTAGCATTATTAGTGTAATGGGTTCTTTTATCTGCAGGCTGGGGAAATTATTAGCAGGTAATAATTTATTGCATGGTCTTTTTTAGCAGAGTCAGATTTCTAATAAATGCCTGTGAGTCTTCTGATCACCCTATGCATTTCCTGTGTACATTTTGTGATTTCTGTTGGTGATTTAGAATCACTATGCATAGCCATTGGCCTTGCATTTTAGTAAGGGATCAAATTTTGCTGAATCTTGTTGAATGGGTATATGTTCTCTGGCCAGGCCTTTTATGTTGCACAGATGTGCAACACCACATCTGTTCTTCCCCTTCCCCAGTGACCCCCAGCATCCTCAGGATGTCTCAGCACTGGTACTGGAACTCCCACCTGGCCTGATCCTTTCCATTCCCCAGTCCAGTGAAGAGTTCCATCACAGGGAGCCTTGATAACTGCCAGTTTATATCCACTGCTTTGCATTAAAATCTCCAATTTATTTCATCATTACTTGTTTGCATCTATTACTTGTTTAAATCGTACATGTATTACTTGTTTAAATTGAGAAATAATGGAAGATGGAACCGTTGAAATGAGAGAAGGCATTGGGATGTTGATGGGACATGGATTGACAACCAGGTAGTATGGAATCTTTTTTCCTTTCATCTAAGCATCCAGTTTAGCTTCTGTTGTCAATGTTGTTATCAAAGCATGCATTTAGAAGAACTGAACTTACATTGTGGTTACCTTCAAACTTCTCCATCAAGGAATAAATACAGGTAGCAACTGCATGGAGCACACAGGGACAACTGGAAGGATGGCAGGATTCTGGTGTTCATGTTGGGAAGCTAATAGAGTGTGGGGTGAGAAGCAAAGGCTCAGGGGCTAGTTCTGCACCTTGTGTGCTGTATGTGGCCCTGGGCAAGTCACTTAAGGCCTTGACACTCAGTGTCCTCTTCTGGCACACAGCAGTAAGACTAAGGTCGAGAATGTTAAGCAATTGGCATGGGTTCTGGGACATAGTTAGGGCTCAATACATGTGACTGACAGTGCTCTTATCCACCAGTCCCTTCCAGTGGGACTTTGATGTAGCTCATAACTAGGTGGATGAGGAAAGAGAGTCTGTTCTGGCCTATTTCTTTTGACACCCCGGTCCTCTGGTGTCTACTTATCTGTTGGTTCATGTCAGGCTGGTCACTTCCTTGTAGTTGAGCTGATATGCTAATTGCAGGGAGTTTGCGGCTGCTCTATCTACAGTTTCTCAAAGTTCAATCTTGAAGGTACAGTGTCTTCCTGGTTTTTCTTTTCACACTTTCGTTACCTGAGTTCCTAATTACTCTTGCGTAACCAGGTATATGCTTGCCTTTTGGGAGGCACGCTTCTCTCCCAATGCAAATACAAATACAAATACAAGGGAATAAGTGTAATGTCCATGAATACCTGCTCCTCCCACCCAACCCTAAACCATGTGTAGGTGCTTTGGGGAAGTTTTTATAGGTCAGTGTATCTCAGATCTGACTGGTCATTACATTCACCTGAGACCCTTCAGCAAACTACAGCTTCTAGAATCCCACTCCTAGTTCTTTTGAATTGAAATCATTGTGACCAGAGCCGGGCATGAAGAAAGAATAACTTCCACGCTAAGGGTAGCCTGGTACACCAATGGCCATTTCATCAAGTGAGAGAGAACTGAAGAGAGCTTAAGATTTTGCATTTCTCTCCTCAAGCTCTGTGCAGGGATGCCACAGAAGCCTCTGCTTTCGACTCTACACCTAATGGCTGTTAGGCTGCTGAGAGCCTTCATTTCCTGCAGGTGCCATCACCAATCACCAAGTTTATTAGAAAAGAGTGCCTTCCAGCTCTCCCTATAAGCCCTTTCGAACATGCGCTTCCCTTCAGTCTGTGCTGTAACCCAGAGGGTAAAGGTTCAGCCTTCAACATGTACTTCATTTGCTTACATGGCCTAAGAACCCCTAAGAAGAAGACTAAAATTCACATCCCAGTGAAAAAGAAACACAAGTGTGTCAGCTCAGCCTTTGGGAAGAAAAGATGGAAGAAGAAGGAGGCCTATTTTGTTTACATGGGGAGACTGCTAAAGCAAGTGAGTTGGGACTCTAGGGAAGCTTAGAATGGCTGAGCCAGGTACCACGGTAGTGGGCCTGGGTGTATTTTTTTTTTTAAGATTTATTTATTTTATACAAGCACTGGGTACAGTCAGAAGTGCAGGAGGGTGAGAGAATTCACCAGAGCGGGGAACAGAGCGGGTAAGGTGACGAAATACACTGCTGAGGGGAACAGCGAGCACAGCAGGAGAGGTCTGCGCGCCATGTGGGACCCTCAACCGACTGACTGGGATCGAGCTGGTGCTGCAAGGGTGTGGGCAGCTTCGCAGCCCAGCGCTCAACTGCTGCGCCACCAGGGGAGGCCCCCCTGGGTGTATTCTTAACTCGAACTTACTCTGATACAGGAGTCTTCACACACTGAGTTCCTGAAAAGCTATGTGTAGACAGCTTCTCCAAATAGGATCTCCTGGCGGCCGCCCCTCCTGCTTGGCGTGCGCTCTGCTGGCAGCAACTCCGAACACCTGAGCTCTTAGTGTCTCTTTCTTGTATCTGTTGACAGGCAATCTGTAAACTGATTCTTGAATGCCTCCCTTTTCTTGGAGAGAGGGGATTCGCCACCTCATCTGCACTAACACTCGGAAGAGTTCATTAAACAGGAGCTGGGTGCTTAGACTCTGCTAAGTGGGTAGGCTCACGAATTCCTTCTTCTTGCCTGCCCAGCCACATGCCCTAGCAGACAAATTGTAGGAAATTAGGAAAGGCTTCCTCTTCAAAAGAAGTTATGGGAAAGAGTAAAAAGATTTTGTGAAAGATGTGCTAAGACTAGGTTCTGGAGTTTGCTTCATGACAGCAAAGCAAGATGGAGTATTTGTGCGTAATTTTACCAAACCCTTTGTATTCCAGTAATATTGTTTGGAATCTGTTGCTTATCTGGAAGAAGAGAGAAATGGGATGAAGGAAAGCTAAGAGTGAGGGTGTGTGACATAGAGCAGGGTTTTTCAATACCAGCACTGTTGATGTTTGGAGGCTGGGTAATTCATTATTGGTGGGGAGCTGTCCCTTTCACTGAAAGATATTGAGCAGCATCCCTGGCCTCTACCCACTGGATGCCAGCAGCACCCTCCCTCCCAGTTGTGACACCCAAAATATGTCTACGGATACTGCTTAGTAGCCCCTAGAAGCCAAAATGGCCCCCGGTTGAGAACCACTGCTGGGGAGTCTGCATTTGTCTGGATTGAGCAGTCCTCTAAGCACTAGTCTTTCCTTGACCTGTCCTTGACCTTAACTGGGTCTGGCAGGCCACTCGGCTTCTTTAAGGCTCCCAAGAGTCAGATCTGTGTCTTGGGTCAGCCTCCCAGGATGCTGTGAGGATAGAACAAGATGTCGGTTGGATAAATGTCTAAGCGCACGCCAGGTCTGCTGTGAGAGCTCAAGAAGCGATGCAGTCTCCATTGTGAAGAGGCTCATAGTCCTCAGTGGGAGGGGACAGTGAGGAAATACTTGTAAATTACTGGAACCTGGAGAGCCCTTGCAAATCCCACTTTAATCAAGTCTGTCTTCACAAAGAAGAAACTGAGACCAGGGTGAGGATATGACTTGCTTACATAATGTCTCATGTCCAGATAGAGCCAGGATTAGAGGCCTGGGGGGAGGGGGGGTGTCAGGTCAGTGTTCCTTTGACCCCTTACTCCAGCTGCCTCTCTGCAAAGTGGAGACTGGAACACTCATGACATAAGGCAGCAGGCGATACAGGCTCTGAGAACACAGTGCTCTGGGCCTGGGGGAGGGAGGGCTCCGTGAGGTTGTGTGGAACGCAGATAAGCAGGAGGTGGGGCCCTTGGGGAGGAGCCTTCAAGGATGGATAGCATTTGAAAGGTGGAGTTGGGTGCAGGCATGCTAGGTAGAGATGACAGATAAACAGTGGCATGGAGACAGGAAAACATGGGACACATCTGAGAAAGAGCAAGTTTCTCAGCTTGGCTGGAGAAATCATGTTGGCACCAGGAAGTAAGGCTGGGGATTGAAGTGTTGAAACAAAATGCTTGCATGATAGTGTGAAAATATCAGCTAAACTGAAATTGTATTTTCCATCTGCAGAAGGTTGGAAGTTAACTCTGCTTCTATCAGGAAACACAGGCATAAAATCTGAAGTGACCAGTTAGTCTGTATTATCCAGACTAAGAGTTATCTTTCCCATCAGCTCCAAATCCCCCTCCTCCCTCCTTCTCAGAGATCATGTGACAGGTACAACAACTTCATTGCTCTCACCACATCCCAACCATTGATGCTTTGGGTGTTCCACACATGCACAAATCCAGGAAGCCAGCACTGCTGGGCTGGCTCAGAATATGCTTACTATGGAAGCCTCCCCTTCTGTGTCTCACCCTTATTCTGTTTTTCTCCCAGGTCCACCCGGACTTCAGCGGGTGCTCCTGGGTCTTGGCTGTGCTGTGCTCTCTGGAGGTCTGGCTGCTGGAGCAGGTGAGCCTGGAGGCAGTTAGGCTGTCCTTCCACTACCACAGAAGAGCCGTCACCAGCAGAGAGATCCTCGAAGCAGTCAAGCAGAGAGCCTCTTGGAAGAGCTTTTGAATAAATGGAGTGCTTCTGAATGGTCCTGTTGTAGATACAATCATACTTGTCAAAGAAAAAAAAGGCTATATTGCAGGCTGGATTGGAAGAGAGGTACCTGCTGTGATAGTCGTGGTGCCACCTGCCTGGTCTCCGGGTTCTCTGTTGTCATCCTCTGACTTAATTTGTGAAAAAAAGAAAAGCATTTTCTTTTGTGTGTGGGTGTTATGTTTGTAGTCTATGGCATTTAAATTTTGCTTTGGCATGCTTCTTCCCTGTTTGGAGCTTACCTGTTATCTTTTCTGGGGACACAATTCAACCTGTAACACTCTGCTTGCCATTATGTCTCCATACTTCAGCTCCAGGATGGCGGCTGCTGCAAAGGAATGAACTGATGCTTTTTCTTAAAATGTAAGCACCCCTACCTTGACTTCTAGGAATGAAAATATATAGTGGGAAGGGCTCTATTTGCTCGTTGAGTGTCAGACTCATGGTTATTAATGTAGCACTCAGCCTAATAGCATGTGTGTTATAAGTGCCAAGTGTAAAAGCTGGTTCCAATTGTGGATAAAAACAATACAATTATAGAATTTTAAAAACGCAATAATTTAGAAGCAGCAAGAACAAACAGATGATAAACTTAGACGTTGGGGGTCTGAAAAAACCTGGGTAGGTGACATGAAGAGCAGGTGCTAAGCATGGTAAGGGTTTGGAATGGGAAACCTGGACGCTGATGGGCAGATGGCCTGCTAGGAATGTGCGCCTGTTAGAGTTTCTGTGCTCATGAATCTAAAGCAAAGCCAGCCTTGCTTTCAAAACTTCCAGCTGGATACAACTGTTGCCCTGCTGGTGGAGAATGCAGAGTCAGGTTCTGCCAACCGAGTGGAGGAGAAAGGGGCGAGGGAACAAGTCCACCAAGAACCATGCAGTCCAGAAGGGCCGGGAATGAGAGCATTGTGGAAGTCATGGATGGCACTGTAAATTGAGTCTCAGTGGATTGCCTCTCCGCCTCCCTGCAGGTGGGCTGGCTAACCCAGGAGGGTACTTGCCTAAGATGCAGTGGTGACACCCAGTGACCACTCCTTGAAATGCATCTCCTTGGTTGTGGGTTGTCAGCAAATGCAGAAGTAACCTCGTATAAAATAATCAGGGGGTGTTCAGTTCCACTGGGAGGCACTGAAGCCCTCTGCATTCACCCCAAGGTTGTCTCTTGAAGGATGCTGTACCCCTGGCCCTGGGCTTTCTGAGGGGATGGGCAGATGGGTACCCACAAGTGGACAGTCTGGGCACTGAAGGCAGGCTGGGGCTGTTAGATCTGGGCTCCTCTGCTAGGCTTCTGCTGTCCTAGGGATTTAGGAAAAGCATCCTACAATGGCTTTGGGACATTCCCAAAACATGGCTAGTGTTTATACAAATGTCAGGTAGTCATGCAGGCTTCTTCCAGTCCATTGTTGTCCTGGGAAATTGTCATCCCAGCTGACTCGAGCTGAGTGAAGACTCTCCTCTCTCTACCTTCCCTGAGAGTTGACTATCCTCAGGGATCTGACCATGTCCTAATGCCTCTGGCTCCAGTTCTCCTGCTCCAAGTGCGGGGATCTAGCTGACTTAGTCTGGAGGAAAACACAGGTTTCCTGTCCTGTCGCCCATGATAGGTACTAGGTTTAACTAGAGGGTTAAGGAGTTAGGTATCCTTTAAGGGCTGCTGCACCCAGGGGAAACACAAAGGGACTGAGCTAGGATACCTAACCCCCTTTGCAATGACCCAAGGTACTTCAACTGTTTTGGTTACCCTTCACTGGGCCCTGATGTTTACCTTTCACTTTCAAAGGTTATTAGCAACGCAGGTTTGAAGTCCAAGTACAAGGGCGTGAGCTGAGGGTCACAGAGCCTGAACCCTGGAGCGTGCAGTGGCAGATGGCTTCTAAGGTGGTCAAGAAATGGAGGAATATTGTTCAACTCACCTCTAACCCTCTTCCCATCATTCAGTTCGTTAACACCAGTGTGAGTTTGACTTTGAACTTAGGGTTGTCGTGGTGTTGTGGAAAGGGTCTTTGCTGAACTTGTCAAGTAATCACTTGACAACAACTGTTTCCACATCTGTAAAATGGTGCTACGCAGGATGGTGGCGAAAGTCACAGAGTACATGAAAATTAATAATGTATGTGAGAGTGTTTCTTATGCTTTGATTTAAGGCATTACTATCAGATATTTTCCCAAATGTATTTCATAAATTTTAAGGCAAAACAAACAACTTAATGATGATGAAATTCCATTAGAGGTGAACTTCCTCTCACTAGCGGGGACTTAGGACTCATCAGTGATGACTGATGTCCCTTGCAGGCCATCAGAGGGAGAGTACAGCAGGAGGAGGGTGTAAGACCGACACACAGACAGGGCTTGGAGTCAGACCGCCTTGGCTTTGCCTCCCAGTTCGGTCACTTCTAGCTATGGTACCTTGGACAAGTCATTGATCCTCCCAGATCCTCAGTGTCCCTATAAAGTAAAGTGAAGATAAGGCCAGCCTCCTGAGTTGCTGAGTCAGTTACATACGGTGCCACCTCTCAGGCACCTGGAACAGAGTAGTGAATAGCATCTTGAAAATATGTTAATTCAGGTCTTTCAGAACCAGGTATTTGGGGTATGACTATGGGCTAGGCTGACATGGTGCTTGGGGCCGGGTGACATGGTGCAACTTTCAGACAACTGTAGTACAGAGCCCAGGGCTCCCCTTTACTTGCTGTAGAAACAGATTTAGCTTCATTGAGCTCCAGTTTCCTTATCTGTAAAGTGAGGGAGAATAATGCCTCTTTTAAGGGACTGTTGTAATAATTATGGTATCTATGAAAAGCACATGGCACAGGTCTGGCACCTAAAGTCTAAAAAGTAGCAGAACTGTGATGGATATACTCTTGCAGAACCATTTAGAGACAGTGCTGATGGGTCAGGTTTACAGCTGATCGCATTAAATCTATTCTTGAACCAAACTCATCGGTTTTATTTATTTTTTTTAAAGATTGATTTATTTATTTATAAATACAAGCACTGGGTACAGTCAGAAGCGCGGGAGGGTGAGAGAATTCACCAGAGTCAGAGTAAGGAGCAGAACAGGCAGAAGGACCAAAGTACACTGCTGAGGGGAGCAGCGGACGGCAGGAGAGGTCTGCGCGCCATGTGGGACCCTCCTCCAGTGGCCGGGGAGCAGCCGGGGATTGAACCGGTGCTGCAGAGGCTGTGGGCAGCTTCGCAACCCAGCGCTCAACCGCTGGGCCACCAGGGAGGCCCCAAACTCGTCGGTTTTAAATAAAATATGAGATGTTATTTCCTCCTGTACATACCTACTCATTACTCCCTAAATAATCAGAGCAGAAGAAAGTTCTACTGACTCTAAAAAAAGGTGATAAAATATCAGAATGGGCAAGAGAGGAAGGTTGTGAACTCTCTAGAGCTCCTTCAGAAAAGTCCTTTGAAGATTTTGTGTGCTTGTGCCAAGTATAGTTTTCCTAGCCCTCTCCCTCAGGCCTTGCCCAGGTGCAATGCCCTCATGTCCCCTGGGGGAAATCCTCTTTGCGATCTCTCTGGCCCCTGGTCCAGTTGCCCTCACAAATGCCATTGCCCCCGTGGGTCCTGGCCCTGCGCGACCCTGCTAGCCCAGTTCTCCAACCTTCTTTCTCTCCACTTCCTGTTCCTGCACCCTCCCAGCCTGCCCTGGCAGTTGAGTTGCTGGCTTTCACTCTGGCTGGGGTGGGGGGTGGGGGAAATGGCCTCACCGTGGTTTCTGTCCACGCCCACAGCTCTGAGAAGGCCTGACCTGTGTGTACATAAACCACACCCCAGCAGGCCTCTCTCTCCCTGAAAAACCATTCCCTAACCCATCAAAGCGCCCGAATCCTGAAATCAAACATGGACTCAGAGTCATGCCAAGGATTTAAAATTGGACCCTTTTATTCCAATCAATCTTCCTTTCTTTCCAGTGCTGGTGTCTTACCCTTCTGGGTGTTTGCCCCATGCTTAACCATCCTGCCTTTCGCTCCCCAGGCAGCCCCACCCCAGTGGGCTTCCTGGTGCTAAGGGTCTCGGGCTCCTAATCCTGCTATAGACTAACAGTGACCATAGCAGAGCTTTATTTTCACTCCTTCTGCAAGAGTTTCTTGAGCACTTATTAGGTGCCAGGCATTGTTCTGTGTATTGGGCATGGACAGAGAACAAGACAATAAAGTCCCTGCTGTTGTGAATCTTATAATCCATGAAGACCCAAATGACTTTGCCTTACTGATGCATAAACTCATTTTATTTTGGTGGGGAGAGGGGTTTACATTTTTTATGGAAATGCCAGGAGCAAGGAAACTTATCTGAGTTCTTTCAGCATGTAATTGGGAGGGCCCTTGTTCCCATGCTGATATTGCTGGAAGCACTAGCAATTTCCTGGTTTGGTCTGCATTTGGTGCGGGGGAGACCTGAGTGGGGTCCTTTACGTCATTGTCAGTATTTTGGAGATACAGGATCTCCCCTTCATGTGTCTAAGTCGTTCTTGAACCAACTTATCTGAGGAATGTTATTTCCCCTTATACACACCTACCCATCACTCCCTAAATAAGTGCAAGTGAGCATTCCACTGACTCTAAAGAAGGTGGTAAAGATACTACAATGGGCAAGAGAGGAAGATTGTACATTCTGAAAGGGGAGAGGCAGCAAACAGTGCAAGGCCAGGCAGCGATAAGTGCTATAGAAGCTGCGTCAGGGTGGGGTGGGGGTGCAGATGATGCGAGGTGCTACTTTCAATAGGGTGACTTCTCAGTGCAGGTGAGTCTTGAGCACATGCCGGGGAAAGGGGAGCCAGTGAGCCACAGGAATAAAGGATGGGGGCTCCAGGCAGAGACACAACAATGCCCCGAGGAGGGTGCGCAGGCACATTTGCGGAATATCAAGGGGCTACATTATTAGCCATATCACACTGTGATGAGCACTTTTTAATTTGAATTGTGACAAAATATACATAGAATAAAATGTACCATTTGAAACAGGATGGTGTGGGACATCGAGATGGCACCGGCGGGAGAGCAGTGTGCCCTGCTTACATCCAGGGATAGAGGATGAGGTTGTGACAGAGTGGCCCTATCTGTTCTAGCTGTCGCTTGGGTCATGACAGCCTGCCTTGTTCCCATGCTGATATTGCTGGAAGAACTAGCAATATCCTGGTTTGGTCTGCGTTTGGTGCGGAGGAGACATGAGTGGCCTCCTGCCCTCCCACTCACATGCTGAAAGAGCCCAGGTAAGTTCCTTGCTCCTGTGAGTCGATTTTCTCCTTGCAAACATAATTATACTGGTTTTTTGGGGTCTGGTGAGAAGACAGATGATAAAAGGTAAGACATATAAGAAGCCTCATCAGTGACTGACTGGTACACAGTAGGTGCTCAGCAAATGTTCACCCTTTGCCTGGGCAGAGCAGGAGCTTGTGCCCACTGGCCTGGAACCAAGCCTCTTCTGTCCTCACCCTGGTCAGCACCATTTCCCACCTACTGACTTCTCCCCTTTAATCACTGGATTCAGCTCTCAATTTGGGGACCATTGCTGCACAATTTGGTATTCAGACTGAGTGAGGAGAGGCCATATGTAGAAGGGTATGTGGATTGGGAGGAGCAATTCAGTCCTCAACCCTCTCTTTCCTGAGTGCTAGTGTGGTGAAACCTCAGCTGCCGACTGAGCCAGGAACTTAACCAAAAGAATGAGGTGTGAGTACCTGTTCCTACAATGCATACAGTGGGGGTGGGGGGGAGGGGCTGGAGAGCAAGTCTGGACATGAGGCTGCCCCTCTCCTCCTGACCAATGCTCCTGATGAATGCATTTTGAGAGATCCTATGAATTTCCCAGGAAAGCTGAAAATCTAGAGATAAAGGCGAAATTCCTGATTTTAAAAAATGTTGGTGATTAACTGATTTTTTTTCAAAGATTTATTTATCTATGCATATAAGAACTGGGATACAGGCCAGAGATGCAGGGAGGGGGTGGGTGTATGAGAGGATTCACCAGAAACAGAGTGGGGAGCAGAACAGGCAGGCTGACTGAAATACACTGCTGAGGGGAGCAGCAGGTGAGACAGGAGAGGTCTGCTGCACCATGGGAGTCACCTCCCTGGTTGGGGATGGAACTCGTGCTGAAGCAGCTGCGAATAGTTTCTTCGCAGCTTCCTAGGTTGTATCTTAACCCCTCGCACCACCAGGGAGGCTCCTGATTTTTTTTTTTTTAAAGATTTATTTATTTATACATACAAGCACTGGGTACAGTCAGAAGCGCGGGAGGGTGAGAGAATTCACCAGAGCCAGAGCGGGGAGCAGAGCAGGCAGAAGGACCGAAGTACACTGCTGAGGGGAGCAGCGGGCGGCAGGAGAGGTCTGCGCGCCATGTGGGACCCTCCTCCGGTGGCCGGGGAGCAACCGGGTATCGAATCCACCGCTGCAGAGGCTGCGGGCAGCTTCGCAACCCAGCGCTCAACCGCTGCGCCACCGGAGAGGCCTTTTTTTTTTTTAAACTGTGAGCCAATCATTCTAGGGACAGGATGTAACCTAGAGTGACCGGTCTGGAAAGTGTGCATTAAGCTGCCTGTCATCCAGCCTTCATCCTGTGGTACCTTACACCTGCCCTCTGCCCCAGGCTTTTACCTGGCCCTGCTCTGGCTTTGTCTCTGCCTCTCTGGGCTGAGTTCGAGGGCCAAAGAGGATGGCATCTAAACATTCTAAATCATACCCCTATTCCACCAGACTCTGGAAATCACCACCCACGAAATCCCAGCTGCTTCCCAAGGTTTACCTGGAACCCCATCCTTCCAAGGCCACTTACACCACCTGGTGTTGGGGTGTGCCCATCTTTAAGCCTGTTCGGAGGCCTGTCGAGGCAGTTTGGAGGGTGGTGGCTGTGTGTCCATGGAACCCTCCTTTGTATGGGATGGAGATTTTCAGCAGAAGGGGTGAGGTTGCCCGCCAGGTTCCTATATTTCTACTCTTGCACCTGGCAGTGCCATTCTTAGGGATGTCACTGCCCAGTGCGGGAGGCTTTAATAAGACCTACCACCGATTCACAATTTACTAGACCAGGCACTCTAAAATGGCGCGCGTCCTGTCATTTGACCTCCTTGTCCACTCCGAGGATGCTGACAAGCAGTAGCGCTGTTGTCCGGAGGTGAAATAAGTTGTCCACAGCTAGTGCGTGGCAGTGAGGACTGACACCCGACAGCGTGCAGCGGAGCAGAATGGGTCCCTGACCAGTCACACTGCGGGGACGGCCCCTGCTCCCCAGCCCCCAGCGGAGGGAGGGCCGGGCCGGGTGGGGGTGGGGACCCTCCGCGCCTCCCGCCGCGCGGCCCCCGCGGGGGCACAGACCGGGACGGCCGTCGGGAGCCCAGCGACTGCCGCCCAGCTGCCCGCGCCTCCCGCGGCCCCCACCCCGGCCCGCCCCGGGGGCCTGGCGGGGACGGCGGCGCCAGGCAGCGGGGATTTGGAGGCTCTGGCCCGCGCCTCCCCCTCCCACACCACCTCGGGGGGCTTGGCCGCGCCGGGGACTTATCTCGACGCCGGCGGCCGGCCCAGCGCCTTCCCGGCATGCCCCGCTCGGGGAGCCGCCCGCGCGTCCCGCGCCCGGACTCGGCGAGCTGTGGGGCCCGGCCGGGAGGCCGCGGGGGTGCGTCCGGCGGCCGCTGCCTGAGGTGGGTGAGCTCGCCCGGAGCTGTGCGAAGGGGGCCCCGGCGGCCGCCCGAGCCCAGCCCCGTCGGAGCGGGGCGCGCAGGGGTGGGGGCGGGCGGGCTGGTGCGGGGATCCGGGCGCCCGCGCCGCCGCTGCCTGGGGGAAGGCGCCCCCGCCCGCCGCTTTGTTGGGGTCTCGGTGGCGGCGCCGGCGCGGCTCCGGCGCAGAGAAGTTGCACAAACTTGGAACTTGCGCGCGGGGACCCGTCCGAGCACCGCGCGGCGCGCGCCCCGTTGGGGTGGGAGTGCCTCCCGCCTTCTCGCCGTGTGGGGTGCTGGGGTGGGTGGGTGTGCTGGGGGGCTGGGGGGTTGGGGGGCAGCGGAGGGGGGAGGGCCGTGGGTCTGTTTCATTCTGGTGGGTTTGGAACCCTTTGGAGAGAAAGAGAATGTGAGAGTACACGACCAACACAAGCTCATACAGATGCGGAGACAGAAACCAACACACAGAGTATTCTCACAAAGAAAAGGAAAAACATTCAAGTGAACATTCATGGAAAGGAACATTCATGCAGACACAAAGGAACATTCATGCAGACACATCTCCGAGAAAGACAGCAAAAACTCAGCGAAAGCTCATCCACTCGCAGAGGAACACCGAAGCAGCACAGGAAGGAGGCGAAATAAAGCTGGTGGGCCTGGAGGCCCTAGGGCGGGGGGCAAAGGAAGGAAATGCCGAGAATGGGGGTGGGGGGAGCCTGGAGGGGAGCCAGAGTAGAAAGTAGCAGCCTGTGGAAAGGGAACCAGAAAGAAAGGGAAAATGGAGCGGGACAGAGCCCTCTGGCCACTTCACTTGGGCTTTGAACCACTTTCCAAACAAGGAGGTGGAAGGAAAAAGGACTAAAGGAGGAGGGTCGGTATAGAGAAACAGAGAGAGAGAAATGGAGGCAGACCCTTAGGATAACTGCTTCTCTAACACACAATCAATGCTATAAAGAGAGACAGACCTCAGCCTTCTCACCCTGTGGGCAACTGAGCTCCAACTTGCAGCAAATTTGAGGACTCTGAGAAAGTCCTTGGCACTGTCAGCCAGCCCAGCTCTCATCTTGTCCACCTGACAAACTCTTACTCATCCTTCAAAACCCAGCTCAAGCATCACTTGCTTGCTCTGTGAAGCAGGTTTTCCCAGAAAAAAATCATGCAAGCCCATCTGCTCTCTCTTCTCTGTACTTCTGCTTGTGGCAAGGCCCATGGCATTGCAATGGTTTATTTGCTTATTTGTCTTCACTCCTTCCACTCTTAAGACTTGGTGCATGTGTTTGCCCTGTGTTAGGTGCATTATAAATGACCGGTAAATACATATTGAATGATAAGTGGGAGTCTTTGGACTCAAATATAAAATTAAGTCCAAATAGAAGAAATACATTGTCCTGGGGTCATGGAGACTCCTAGGTCAAAGCACCTTTTTTTGCAGGTGGAGAAATTAAAGCCAGGATGGGGGACTTGCTCAGAGGGACACAAGTAGGGGCTGTGCAATGAAATAACACATGAAGACACACTTCTGAGGTGCCCTCCATTCCTCTAGTCTGTGAGTTTAAAGTTGGTGTTGAAAGTATCTTCTCAGCAAAAAAGGCAATAGGCAAGGAACACTTTAACACCAGATGTAAGTTTGCAACACTGAAACTGACAATCAGAAACCAGAAATTTAGAATCCTCTTTCCTACCTTAGAAAGGAAAAGGGGGCCTCCCCTGGTGGCGCAGGTGATTGAACGAGGCTGTGAAGCTGTCCGCCGCCTCTGCAGTGCTGTTTCGATCCCCACTGGCCGTGGAACAACCCACATGGCGTGGCAGACCTCTTCTGTCGGGCCTGCTGCTCCCCTCAGCAGTGTATTTTGTCAGTCTGCCTATTCTGTTCCCCGCTCTGGCTCTGGTGAATCCTCTCACCCTCCTGTGCATCTGGCCTGTACCCCGGTTCTTGTATAAAATAAATAAATAAATCTTTAAAAAAAAAGAAAGGAAAAGGGCAGTGAATGTCCCTCTAAGTTTAAGTGGATGTCTTTCTACTTCCTGTCCACATAAACATGGACAGGTTACTTAACCTCCTTGAAACTCAGTTTTCTCAACGGTAATATGGGGATAATCATACCTACCTCATAGGATGGTAGAAGAGCTAGCGCATAATAAGTGCCTGGAAAATAATAGATATTCAGAAAATACAATCTTCTTGAGTGGGCATTCTTTCATGTACTTGGTATAGGTGTGAAAACAATATTGATAAATGAAAGTTTCTTTCTGTTCAATGTTTTAAAGGCCATCTTGGCCCTACTGGGGAGCAATCTCTTAATACTGTAGTCACAATTCGCTTAGCAACATTTTGGTCAATATCAAACCACATACATATACAGTGCTGTCCCAGTAGGCTATACCACAAAGCCTAGGTCTGCAGGAGGCCGTACCATCTAGGTTTGCGTAATATCACTCTGACGTCTGCACAATGATGAAATCACCTAATGACATATTCTCCTCATCTACCCTGTCTTAAATGACACAAAACTGTTAAGGAAAAGCAAATTTGGAGCAAAACAGAGAACACATCTTGATCCTGTTCAGGCCCTCAGGTCTCTGCAGGTGACGTGGGGGATCCTAGCTTCCTGAAACCCACTGGGAGTTAAGACTCCACTGCTCCCACCCCAATTACCCCTGCCTCTTTGCTGCTGCTCTACCAGGCCTCTCTGCTCATGTGTTCTTTCAGGCTTCAGCCCACGAGGGGGATGTGACCGGGACTGAGAGAATCGTCTGGAATCATGGAGACCGTGGTGATTGTCGCCATAGGTGTACTGGCCACCATCTTCCTGGCTTCCTTTGCAGCCTTGGTGGTAGTTTGCAGACAGCGTTACTGCCGGCCTCGGGCCCTGCTGCAGCACTATGATTCCAAGTGAGTAGGCCCAAGGTGGGGAAGGTGTGGAGGTCTTCCCCAGTGTTGCAACAAAAGAAAAAGAAATTTGGTGCTGGGCAACTCAAGCTCAGATTTTTGGTTCTAAAACGGCACCTGAAGACTGCCTTTCCTGATAAGGACCTCAGAGCTTAAGAACATTCCTAAGTCCCCCCAGCCCCACCCCTTACCCTGAGCTGCCTCTGACTCTCACAGAGCTGATGAGAACGTGACTAAATGTGTTCTCCCAGCAAAAGTGGCTATTTGATATTTGAAAATTGCTAAAGGAGTAGATCTTAAAAATCTTCATCTCCAGAAAAAAATAGTAATTAAGTGTAGCGATGGGTGTTAACTAGACTTATTGTGATCATTTCACAATGTCTATACATATCAACTAAAACTATTAATATGGTGTTACCTTAATTTAAAAAACACAATATAAAGAAAAAAAAAAAAGCCCTGCTACCTCATTTGGCATGTGAACAGCTTCCCAACCAAACTAGGAACAGAAATCCATGACTACTCGCCAGCCACACTTCCAAGCAGCAGATGCTCGGCACTGTGAAATACCAGCAGAGGATTTCTCTCTCGCTGCTCTGTGGCGCATTTTATGTGAAATATATTTTGTAAGCTGGATCCTCTTTTCAGTTTGGGGATGTTTTAATGGGTAAATTTTTAAAGGACCAGTGTCAGCTAACCCCTCCTTTCTCTTACCCCCCTCTGTGTGAATCCTATCAGCATTTCTGTTGAGTGGCCAATAATTATCAAATGGTCATTTGTATGTGTGACCCAGGAAAGCGCCACTGTGGAAACATGGCTGTGGCATCCAATTATTTAAAGAACCCTATAAAGGTGAAAGTATTCTTACTTCTCCAGTATAAGTGGGAGGGGATGGGGCCCCCGGGGTGCACCAACAGTGATTCTGCACACCAGGCAGGGGGTGCAGGTAGATTTGGGTAATGTGAACTCTGGTTTCTCCAGGAGAGGTAGGCATGGAGGGAGAATGAGTTACAAAGGACGCATCTGATCTTGGAGGAGCAGCCCTGTAATTACTGAGGCTGCAGCCTTGTGCTCTCCTGTGGCTTTGCTGTCCTGTCTCACTTTCCTCTGGTTTGAGTGCCTCTGGCCTGCCTTCTTGACTCACTCTCTAGCCATGTGCCCTGCCTGAGCTGCCCACTGTGGCTAGGCTTGGCTCCAGGACAAGTGACCACTGCTTTAACTTATTAACTCCTTCTATACTTCTGGGGGGCATGTGGTCCTCATTGTGGAGAGGGTCAGCAAGGGTGATCTATAAGGAACCACTTACCTGGGCTTTTCCTTGCAGGCCCATTGTGGACCTCATCGGTGCCATGGAGACCCAGTCTGAACCCTCGGAGTTAGAACTGGATGATGTTGTCATCACCAACCCCCACATTGAGGCCATTCTGGAGAATGAAGACTGGATAGAAGATGCCTCGTAAGTCCTGGGGGACCACTTGCTTTCTTGTAGTCCCCAGGGGGATGGCAAGTAGGACTTCGGGGGGCCCTTTTCTGGCTTCCTTTGCCAGAACATGTGGCTGGGCAGCCAGGAACACTCTGTCACTTGCCACCATTCCCCCTGCACTCAAGGTGGTGGGAGACCAGAAGATGACATGGCAGTGTCTGCTCCCAGGTCCCCCCCCACCCCCATTTTGTAGACCTGAACACAAAGACCCATAATGGATGGCAGGAGTTGTTATAAAGTCATCCTGATGTGCTAAATTGTCCTTTGGGGTACCCATGAAGTTGACCTTGGGCTCTAGGGATGCCTTAGCCTTCAGTGTCCCTCAGGCATCTCCCCATGCAGCAGGAGCCTCTGTGTGTGGAGAAGTGCGTGCCATTCCATTTCCCCTTTATTTAGTCATTTCTGCACCAGGCAGATGTTTATGTTTATATGCACATAATGCCCATAAACATCTGCACCGGGCAGATGTTTATGGGCATTATGTGCAGGGCAGATATTGAACTGGTTGGGGAGGCAGAATTCTACTAAGTATAGCATCTTAGAAATGGTGGGGGCCTTTATGCACAGTGCAGTGGGCACACAGAGGAGGCAAAGTCTAGGTTTGCCTGGGGGTACAGAGAGGGATGTTGTGAAGACCATCACAAAGTAGGTGTCTTTTTTGCCTTGGATCTTGGAAAGTTGAAGAGTTCACCAGGCTAAGCATAAGGGGAAGGATGTACTGGGCAGAAGGCACAGGATCAGAAACTCAGAATTATAAAAAAACGTGATTTGGGGCCTCCCTGGTGGTGCAAGGGGTTAAGTCTCAGCACTCTGAAGCTGTCCACAGCCACTGCAGCACAAGTTTTATCCCCGGCCAGGGAGCTACCCACATGGCACAGCAGACCTCTCCTGACTCGCCTGCTGCTCCCCTCAGCAGTGTATTTCTGTCAGTCTTCCTGTTCTACTCCCTGCTCTGTCTCTGGTGAATCCTCTCACCCTCCCCCCAACCCCCACCCTCCCCACCTCGCCCTGTACCTCTGGCCTGTACGCCAGTTCTTGTATGCATAAATAAATCTTTAAAAAAAAAAACCAGCAACCAAAATAACATGACCTGATAGGGGCCTCCCTGGTGGCGCAGCGGGTTGAGCACCACGCTGTGATGCTGTCCGCAGCCTCTGCAGCACGGGTTCTATTCCTGGCTGGCCGGGGAGATCCCCACATGGTGCAGCAGACCTCTCCTGCCCCGCCCACTGCTCCCCTCAGCAGTGTCCTTGGTCCAACTGCCTGTTCTGTGCCCCTCTCTGTCTCTGGTGAATCCTCTCACCCTCCCGTGCCTCTGACTGTGCCCCAGTTCTTGTATAAATAATTCAAAACAAAACAAAACAAAAAAACCGTGACCTGATAGGTGGGGAGTTGTGCTAACTGCAGGAGTCAGCAGGAACTGGGAGGGACACCAGAAAGAAGGTGCCTGCTCATTCAGCTCATAGACATGGTCACGTTAGCCCTGGGGCCTTCCCTGTCCAGCTATGCCGGAGCCAGAGGAGGAGCAGAGGGGAGGCAGGTCTCTACAGAGAAGTGCTGATAAATTCTTCTTGTCTTCCCAGGGGTCTCATGTCCCACTGCATTGCCATCTTGAAGGTAATAATACTCTTTGATTTCTCCATTAAATTAAAGGGGGGATCAGCGAAGCACCCATGTGCACAGACTGTTAGAGTTGAAAGGGACCTTAGGGTGGGCGCTGTGCACAAGGCCTTTGAACACACCTGCCATTTGCAGTGTCTGCTGTTTACTTCCACTCCCGCCTGGATGGGCTCTTAGGTGTTACAATGCTAAGTCCCTTCATTTCATCTAGTCTTCATAACACAATGACCCTTGGGAAAGTGCATAGGAGTCCCTTAGCCATGTTTTCCTGAAAATGCAGAAGGCTGTGTCCCCGAGGCGATGTAGCTGCTGAGAGGGAACCAGAATTTCCAGCTTCTCCCTGAGCATCTTCTTCCAGGAACAGAGACCTCAGCCTTGACAGTGGGCCGGGTTCTACATCTGGACCTTCTCCAGTTACTAGAAAGACTGGTCCTCTGTGGCCATAATAATAGTCAGTCTAATAGAATGTCAGGGTTGAAAACATGCATGCACTGAGCACTTCAACTTGAAGGCACATTTTTTTTTTTTTGCTGCAGCCCCCAGGACTAAGTGTGAATTTGCATCTGATTTGTATTTGGGGTTGTTTTTTGCTTTTGGGTAATTTTTATAGTTTCAGCATGTTTTTTATTTTTGCCTGATACTCTCCTACCTAATAGAATTCTGTTCTACCTGATAGGAGAAGAATGATAATACTGAAATATTTGGCCAATTAGAAATATTACAGGCTTCATTTCCATAACCTGGGAAAACCACACACTTATCTGTCTAGTAATTATTCAGGATTTCAAAAAAGACGGCTTTATCTTTTCTTCATGTCATTCAGTACAAGATATTTTAAAGTCTTTCATCCCATCTCTTCTTCAGCTGTCTCTCTTGGTGGGGGGCCGGGGGGGGACAAAGAAATCCCTAGTAGGAAATTGTTGTCACATTTAGTTCAGGCTAATTATTTAATACCACGAAGGTCTTTGGTTAGATATGGGTGTCATTGGGCCTCCCTGGTGGCGCAGCGGTTGAGCACTGGGTTGCGAAGCTGCCCGCAGCCTCTGCAGCGCTGGTTCGATCCCCGGCTGCTCCCCGGCCACCGGAGGAGGGTCCCACATGGCGCGCAGACCTCTCCTGCTGCCCGCTGCTCCCCTCAGCAGTGTACGTCGGTCCTTCTGCCTGCTCTGCTCCCCGCTCTGGCTCTGGTGAATTCTCTCACCCTCCCGCGTTTCTGACTGTACCCAGTACTTGTATAAATAAATAAAAAAATAAAAATAAAATAAATCTTTAAAAAAAAATAAAATAAATAAAATTAAAAAAAAAAAAAGATATGGGTGTCATTCAAGATAGATAAGAATAATGTCTAGAGCAATCGTACCATATTCCAGCTCCCTCCTCCCAGCCAGGGGAGAAAGGCTGATGCTGGGCTCTGTGCCTTGTCCCTGCCTATCTGAGGAGCAGGGTAAATGGCACCCGATGTAGGGAAAGGCACAGCTAGAAGTCTGAATAGGTTGGAATCCTGGGGACCTGACCTCAAAGGAGAGGAATCTGACTTTCCTCTTGGGCCATCTGTCCCTGTGGCGATGGCTCCAGGGAGGGGACTAAGCTGTCTCCTGGATGGGTACTTGGGCTTCTTTCTGCCCCATTTCCAGCCCAAGTATAAGGCCGGGAATGAAATTTCTTTGCAAAACCAGACACATATCTGGATTCTGACATCGAGCAGGTATGGGAGGGGGAGGAAAGCTCTGGGAGTGGCCAGCACTGTTGGAGGAGGAAGAGAAAGGCCAGGTGCCCTTTCTCTGCTTTTCTCCTGCATAAGTCATCATATTGACAAACCTGCTGATATAGTAGGAAATTGTTGAAATAAGTGACACTTTGGAATATTCCCCAGGCATGAATACTCTTTGTTCTGCCATGATTCTGAGGGTGCTTCCTGGAGATATTGATCCCTTTGAAAGAATGAACTAGGGGTGAAGGAATAGAAAGGATAAGCAGGTTTTCTCCCAAAGTGAGAAGGTGAAACAGAGCACATGATTTTTCTTAGACAGATTATTTCAGCTTAGACTTCTCGAAGCAGAAACCCTGGCCCTCCCTCCTTACCAGGCTTCACTGGGCTTTTGCATTTTCCACCTCATTTCCTCTCATCTCTGTGTACTTTTCAATTTGTCTATTAGATTAGGGGCCCAGGTGTTTGGGGGACTTGAGGTGGGAGCAATATTTGTCTTTGTGGGGGTGGCAGAAGCCCCAGGGGGAACTAGGTCACCCTCATGACCTCTCTCTTTCCTGCTATGTTAGATTTGTCACACGCTGACAGAAAAACTTGTTGCCATGACAATGGGCTCAGGAGCCAAGATGAAGACTTCAGCCAGTGTCAGCGACATCATCGTGGTGGCCAAGCGGATCAGTCCCAGGTGAGCAATCAGGGCCTGGTGGCTCCACACCCCCCGGGGGCCTGGAGACCCTGAAGCCTGAGATAGCCAGCAGGGGCAGGCTCTTGTAAGAATCTACATAGGCAACTTTAGCTGTTTATGTCCCAAGCATTTATAGAGCATCCAATGGGGCTTAGGCTTGGAGAGACTTTGAAGCTAATGTGGTTCAACACACCAACCTCCAGCTGTGGTGCTGACAGTCTCCTACCAGTTGGGGCTCTTTTCATTCCCTGTGACACTCTTCCTGCCAGGCTCCGGGCCAGTAAGCACATTCCTGTTGCCACCCACACCCCTCTCTGCAATGACTTCCTGGCCTTGCCCTGTCCCGAGCTTGTGTCTGTATCGGACACCAGTTTGGGGGGCCCGCTCCTTGGTGCTGTGCTGTCATCCACATCCTGTTCATGTCTTAGCCAGGACTGGGTGGGAGGTGAAGCCACACATCATTCAAATCTCCCAAATTCCAAGCTGTCTGCAAAGTCCCATGTGGGAGTAAACCCAACAGGATTGTAGTCAACAGCTACACCCCCTCATTTGGGTTCAGTGTGAAGAAAAATAAAGCCTTTTTCTTAGAGGAGGGCTGTGCTAAGTGTGTGCTGCCACCTGGTGTTGGTATGTGGACATGCCTGAGCCTGGAGTTGTCCAGTGGGGATGTTTTCTTTCTTGATCAGCTACAGGGCCTGACTGCCTAGAGGCTGCCTCTGTGTTCCCTACTGGGAATGTTGACACCCCTGTGAGTTCCAGGGACCCTTGCCTTCCTGTTGCCATAACCTTAGGGAACCAGCTCTCTGAAAGAATATGAAAGTTGGTGCCCTGATGTCTCTCCAGGGCATTCAGTGAGTTGAGAAAGTGGGAGGAAGATAATTTAGGGGAGGCACTTTGCCCAGAACAGTTCTTGGCTCTCTCTTGGAGCTGACCCTAGGTGGGTGTAGTTCCAGGACTTGTGTCAGCCTCAGTGGGCCCCTGGCCTTAAGACCCTCCAAACCCAGGCATGGCCTAGCTCCAGACATTCCTTCTGGCCACCCATTATTGGCAAAGATAGCATTGCTCCTATATGTGCCCCTCATCTTGCTTCCTGTCAGTGCTAAGAGCCATTCCTAGATGCCATGTGACACCAGGCTGTAAGGTAGCATTGCCAGGAGGGTTCAGGAAGAGGAAGGAGGCTGAGATTTCTGAGAATGTGAAGTGCTGGCCGATCAGGTTTAGCAGTGATGCCAGGATGAGGCTGGCATCATTCAGAGGGCAGATCTGACCTGGTGCTCACTGACCATCCTAAGGAGCACCTAGAATATTTCCTGTCAGGGTCCTTGCTTTGTCTTTTTGCACTCACATTTTGTTCTCCTTCTGAAATTTTTTGGTCCCCATTGTTTTTCTCACTCCATTTATTCCATATTGTGTGTTAATAGCATATTAGTTTCAAGGAGAGTGACTTCCGCTCCAGGGTACTACAGAGGAGGGGCTGCCTAAGACAGAGCTGAGAGTGCTGTGCCCCTGCATTTCCTCATGAGTCCCTCAGCTTGCTGACAGGAATGTTTAAGGGCATCTGTTTTCATGTGCATTTAGAAATCTTAGCAATGTACTATTACTTTTTTACTATCAAGTGGTCCAGAAGCAAGGATTTGAAGCAAATCCTTATACCGTGCAAGTCAGAATAAATAGTAGTGGTTCCTTTCTGAGCCTGACTCAAGGAAAAAAAAAAACTTGAACTGTACTATGTGTCCCAGTGGAACCATTGGAACCTACGTTACACTTTCACTCCTAGTTCTATATAGCCACCTTCAGCTATGGTTCATTTTGTTTTGAACACAAAAGTAATAAATACTTCTAATAGTTAAAACATTGCAGAAATAGATTATAAAGAAAGTAAAGTACCTCCAAATTGCACCTGTCCCACTAAATAGTGAGTTTTCTTCAAACTTCCCCCTTTGTATTTCATAGCTTTTGTCTATTTCAATGTGAATGGCATCAATAAAACTTTATATATTGCCTTTTCAATTTGATAGTCATCATTCCAGATGTGGGAACTTGAACCACTGGAACTAAAATAAAATCAGCAAACAAAATATTCTCTTCCCTGAACCGGAGGTCAGTCTGTCTGCATGGCTGGAATAGTGCAAGAGTAGTGAGAGAAGGATTCACTGGAGAGAAGACTCAGAATTGTATGGGGACTATAACCAAGATGAAAATGCATACATTGTGCAAAAATGAAAAATGATGTAAAAAATATATAAGCTAAAAGTAAAAAAGCAAGGAAGAAGAAGAAGAACAGATAAGAAAATCAAAATACTGAAACCCTTTTACCTCCCCTTAGAGTGGATGATGTTGTGAAATCGATGTATCCTCCACTGGACCCGAAACTCCTGGACGCACGGTAAGGGGTGGAGTGAGTGGTTGTTTGTCTTTTCCTGTTGGAGGCTCACGTTTTATTAGATCTGGGAGGTCAGTGGTTGGGGTTGAGGACAGAGCTGTTGTGCTGGGTCCTTGAGGCTGCCTGGCTCTGGGGACCACTCACCTTGGTGAGCTGAACCTCGCTGGGCAAGAGAAGAGTCCTCTTCCTGAAACCTGAGAGAAGGGAGAGCCAGTCTTGGATTTTGAATTTTTGTGATTAAAACTCCAGCGCTGCTCAGTCCTGTCTGTCTTCCTTCCCTTTAATTTCTACCTTGCTCTCTTTGCCCTTTGGACCCGGGAGGCAGACACACCTTAGCTATGAGTGCTTCCTAGTGAGGTGGGCAGTGAGACAAGTCAGCTAGAGCTGTCCCACCTTCCACAGGACACACCCAGGATCCGCTCTCCCGATCCTCCCTGATAAGATATTTGAAATTATGTTCCTGTACCAGGTACAAACCTATTAAAAAACAACAGATTCTTTTGTCTCTTGGGTTTATATGATGGCTTCACAGACATGTTGTGTAATGATGCCAGGTAGCTTCTCACATGTTGTGTAATGATACATCTGGCTTCTTTGTCCACCCCCTTGTGCCCAGTGGTATCCACGGGCTAGTAATCTGCATCCTATTCCCACATGCGCTCTGCACACTCACTAGTAGGAAAGATTTTACACTGACTCTTTCAATATTGGAAAAAATCCTCAATTTGATTTTCAATTAAATTTTTTAAAAAGTGGGATAAACCAGCCCTGGGTCATAATGATTCAGGTTCAGCCAGGTCAGGGTATGTGTGTCCTGTCTTTAAGTAGACAAGTGGTTGACAAAGTGCTTGTCCGGATGACTAGCTCCACATCATCCCACAGAACACTCCCCTGGGTGATGCATGGGGGTATGCTGCCGAAAATGGGCTCCACGGTCTTCAATAAGTTCGTGAGAGATAACTTGTTAGGAGCTCCCCTTGGAGCTTCACCTGCAACTCCAGGGCTCTGAGAAACGCTTCAGCTCATCTTGTTTAACCCAACCTTTCTCACATTCTCTTGAGCATGGAACCGTCTCTCAATGACACATTCACCTGCCTTGAAGGGAGGGGACACCGATTTGTGAAACACTAGTCTGGAGTCTGTCCATTTGGGCAAAAACTCCCTCCTTTCCCAGGGAGCCTGATCCTCTTGTTTTTTCCAGGACAACTGCTCTGCTCCTGTCAGTCAGTCACCTGGTGCTGGTGACCAGGAATGCCTGCCACCTGACAGGGGGCTTGGATTGGATTGACCAGTCACTGTCGGCTGCCGAGGAGCACTTGGAAGTCCTGCGAGAAGCTGCCCTGGCTTCTGAGCCAGATAAAGTCCTCCCGGGCCCTGAAGGCTTCCTGCAGGAGCAGTCGGCTATTTAGCGCCTGCTGTCACCCCTGGGTGGCTCAGCTGAGCCTTCCACTTTTTCCTGTAGAGCTAGTTCTTCTTCATGACTCAGGACGATGGCTGTATGTGCATAGTAATGCAGGCAGCCCCAGAAGCCTTTGTTGCAGTTGCAGATGCTGACTGGAGAGTGGCAGTCTAACACTACAGTCAGGAGAGCTGGCATTCAGCATCTGTGTGGCAGAGCTCTGAAAATCGGTGCTCTGTAAGCATTATTCGGCTCACCTAGTGTTTTTAAGATCATTGAGCTAGCATATCAGAACCAAGAGTTTTCATGTTAAAATTAGACTTTCTGGCTTCTCCCGAACAATCAAGATGAGGCAACTCTGATCTTCATCTTTGTAAGAAGACAATCAATTGCAACTAAATAGGCATTGCCTCATTTGCCAAGACCTGTGCTCTCTCACCTGGCCTGTTTCATTTATTTGTACCTTCTGCCTGGTCCCTGAGGTCTCCCTTCCCTTCACAGGTTTGGGTTTGAAGGCAAGCAACACCCAGTTGATTTCCCTTTTGTCATTATGCCTGCAATTCCACCTAGCCGCCACTAGGTGAATAGTAAACGTGTACTTAGGTTTCCCTCAAGTGTGTGGTTATTGAGTCAAAGTCAAATGCAGTGTGTATGATTGGACATTGCCTGAGAACTGAGGATGGAAGGAGCAAGTCCGAGAATCCTGAGACCTTGTGTATATGACTCAAAATGAGATATTTAAAGACTCCCAGAGTTCAGGCAGAGGTGAAGAAAACCGTAAACACCGTATACCACAAGACGGTTTCCACATTAGCAGTGACATCCATGAAGGATGTTCTCCCCGTCAATAGCTGTTTGTTTTGCAAATATTGAAAGATGAGGACATTTTTATGACTTGAGACCTTTGTGGGACCCAGAATCACGATTGCGTAATCCAGACACATCCAGACTACATACTTTCCTCATAAGCATACAGGAAAGCCTGAAGCACTTTGCTTCCTCCCAGTCCTCAGAGACTCCATCCCTCTTGGGAGAGGGTCCTGGCTTGGGGGTGGCTTTGCTTCATGGCCTGTGCTGTAAAGCATGCCTTGAGCTCCATATGTATTCATATTCACTTTCTCTGCCCACACTCAAGTCAGCGAATCCGTCAGCCTGAGTTCTAGAGACCTAGGAACCCACATTCCTGAGTACCAGATTGGGGCCTTGTTTGACGTGGAAGCACATTCCATTCTCCTGGAAAACAGGATGCTTCTAACTCATCCCATTGGGGGAGCTGGAGTCGGGGGAAGGAAACCAGAGCTCAGCTCTCAGGAAGGGTGCATTCCTGATTATGGGAACATCAGCCTGGGCTCACGCCAGGTCCTTCTGTCCCACTGGCAAGCTGTGAGTAGGAGATGTCCTCAGTACCACTTGGACTTTTTCAGTTGGCTGCCACACATGGACATCCACAGTCCTATGTTTTTGGTCTTCCCCTCATTAAACCTGCTTTCACACCAGACTGGAAGCCCTGCAACGTTTGTGTGGCTGCCATAGTTTACATGCCTGGACATTTAAACCTAGAGCACAGAACTAAGCAAGAGAGAGAAGTGGCACTGAATCGCCTCTCAGACCTAATCCACCAGGTGTGGGGTGGGATGGGGAAGTTTCTAGCATCTCTGAAGCCCACTCACCTACTTTCTCTGGCCCTGGAGGCTTCCTGAGCGCTGATTGCTGCCCTTTCCATTTCCAGGAGAGGTGGCTGAAGGCCTTGGGAGTGTGGGCTTGGTTTCAGGTGCTCTAACTCCACCTTGGTGTGCAGGACCCCGGGAGTCTGGATAAGGCTGGGCTTAGTCACTGACTGTTTTACTGGTGGTGAAAACACCTTTGGGGTAGGAGGCAACCCTACTTCTCTAGGCCCTTTGGGAGTTGACTGAAGTCACCTCCTTTGGGAGTGGCTGGTGAGTGAGTCTGGGGGTTTCAGTTGTGGTTTCCCCAATTCCCTAGTCACTAGTGTTGTGTATATATGGTGACAGGTCTATTCTTTCATGACCCCCACCACCTCTTTCCTGGAGTAGGAACACTAGACTCCAGTTCTAAATGGAGTAGGAATTACTCGGAGATAGCACTTGAGTGTGGAAATGACAAGATCTTTGAAGTCAGACAGAATTATATTCAAATTTTGGCTTAGTAATTTACTGTGCGAGCTTGGACAAGTTGCTTAATCTTTCTGGCCCTTAGCTTGCTCACCTGTAAAATCAAGGCTACTGCCTCCTTGAGTTGGTATGTCAACTAAATGAAGTGACTGTGAAATACCTAATTGTGTGCCTTGTGAGCATTAGCCCTTCTCCCCGTACCTCCTGCCCCCTGAGGCAGCTCAGGGGTGTCATCTCAATTACCAGCACTCTGTCCAAACAGGGGATTCTGATCATGACCCCTGGAATGGAGTAGCCAAAAATACGGACTCAGTGCTGTAGGGAGTGAGGCCAAGCCTTGTCCCTGCCCCACCCCAAGAATGTTCACAAATGAGGGCGATTCCAGCTCTTGGCCTTCTCTTATCAGTGTTTCCAGGGCTGGTTGCTCAAGCTCACATTCCTCTAGAGTGCAGCCCTTCAGCCAGTGCAACCTTCCAGACAAAAGTAGTGTTCCTAGCTTCCTGGTGCCACCAGCCAGTTTCATCCCAGGAGTTCCTGCTCTTCAGAGACACTATTCTGCATGCTCATGTGAGCCTGCTATGTAGAAAAAGCCCCTGAGTTGGTGTATGACCTTGGATGTACTGGGAAGGTGTCAAATGAAGAATTTCTATTTCCTCCTTCCCTCGTTCTGCCCTGCCTCTCTCCTCTCCACAAATAAGCTTACTCCAGGGGAAGTGTGGGGCTAGCTGCTGGGGATACAAAACAAAAGGTAAGAAGCAAGGGAGGTGAATGAACAGCTGTAGGAACTACAACTGTGCCAGCGCAGTGATGGAGGGTTGCAGGGGATAGAGTTGTGGGGGCACAGCATAGGGAGAAGGTGGGACCAAAACTTCTGGGAAGAAACCTGGAAGGAAGGTGAGCCTGAGACATAGCAAAGAGGTTCAGGAGGGTGTCCTGAGCAGACTGGATATCATGAGAAAATGAAGGGGCCAGCGTCAACAGAACATGGCTCATTTGAGAGGTGCAGGTAATTGGGGGAGGGCCAGGGCATGGCAGGGAGGGACGGGGTGGACAGGCTGGCAGGACCTCAGACCGCAGAGGACCTGATAGATAAACAGGGTGCTGGAGTTTTATCCTGGCCATAACAGGGACCACAGAAAAGCTTTAAGCAAGGGAATGACTTGGTCAGATTTGCTATTTAGGAAAAGCAGATTTGCTATTTAGGAAAAGCATTTACTTCATGCTTCATACAATTAGGCTCTAGAACCCAACCATTTGCCCAGTGCTACTGTGGTGTAAAAGCAAAGCAGCGACTGGGTAGGAAGGGAGGAAGAGAGGGGTCAGGTGTCAGGATAGAAAATGCATGAGGGTGAGGGATATGGTTGTTCTGGACCTGCTTCTCATAGGTACTTAACCTTGTTTCTACCAAAAATGCCGAAGGGCAGAGTTTGACAATTTGAAGCTTAACAGGGTCCTTCTGGCTTATCCCGACCATATCTTCAGCATCCCCGTTTTACAGAAAAGGAGACCAAAGCCTGGAGACATCCGCCAGGTTCCCATCATTCCTCAGGGAGCTTCAGTGCTCCCCCTGGTGCTCTTAACCTGCCTGCCCCGGGTGTGGATGGGGAGTCCACAGGAGGAAACAACAGATATGAGAGTCATCCCGGGCTCTTCTAGTTCTGGTATTTTTCGTTTAAAGAAGATGCTGGTCATGACCCATAAATTAATTTCATCACCCACTAATTGGTTACAACCCACAAGATGATACAACATGAGCACTACAATGAAGACTGGGGCAGGGGCGAGGTATCTGTCTTCATCCAAAATGACTTAATTTTATCTGTTTTAAGTAAAACCTGCATTTACCAGAAGATTGGCAAAAACTTTATGGTGTAAAATGGAATAATTAATTTATTACATGATTGATTAGTTCAAGAGTCATCTGTTAAGCATCTACACTGGATTAAGCCCTGGGATACAGCCATGAATAAAAGCAAAATGCCTCTCTTGAGGCACATATAATCTAAGGTGGAAAGAAACCCATAAAGAATCATTTTTAATATAATGCTGTAAGTGCTAAGTAAGGGAATGTGTGTGTGATGAGAGCCCAGGGCAGGGGCACCAAAGCCTTTCAAGAGACTTTCCCAAAGACGGTGATGTCTCGGTAGAATTGTTAAGGAGGAGTAGGTGTTAGGCGGGAGGAGCCAGGATAGGGCAGGAAAATTTCAGAAGGAGGAGGGCAGAGGTCCAGGATGGGCAGTCAATGCAGTGTGATACTCCACACGGTGCTCAGGAAACCACAGCTACAAGTGTCGGGTGGGAGGGGGGAAGTGGTGGTGGATGAGATGGGCAGGGAAGGTGGGGCTGGACTCTGGACTTTTCCTCTAGGTAGTGGCGAGTTATTCCCATGCTCCTCTGTTTTAACTGACACATATCGTGTATGTATAAAGTGTACAACACATTGATTTGGTGTACTTATATATTGCAAACTAATCATAGCATTAGCTACCGCCTTCATCCCATCAGTTACCATTTCTTTTTTTTTTGAGATGAGAACATTTAGGATAAGATCTCCTCTCTTAGTAACATTCAACTATATGGTACATTAATAGCTACAATCACAACGCTGGGCATTAAATCTCCAAAACTGTTAATCTTTTAACCAAAAGCCTAAGACCCTCTGACTAATATCTTCCCATCCCTACCTCCTCCAGGCAGCACCATATTCTCCGAGTTTGTCTTTTTTAGATTCTGCATATAAGTGATATCACTCAGTATATATCTTTCTCTGCCTGACTTGCTCCACTTAGCACAATGCCCTCAAGGTCCATCTAAGTTGTCACAAATGGCAGGATTTCCTTCCTTCTTATGGCTGAATAATATTTGTGTGTGAGTGTATGGGGGGACATTTTTCTTATCTGCTCATCCATTGGCAGACACTTAATTTGTTTTCGTATCTTGGCTACTGTGAATAATGCTGCAGGGATCGTAGGAGTGCAGCTGTCTCTTTGAGGTCCTAATTTCGACTTCTTTGGATACATACCCAGAAGTGAAACGGCTGGCTTTTATGGTATTCCCTTGAGGACCCTCCTTTGTGGGAGGGTCCCACAAAGGACCCACTTTTCATAGTGGCTGCCCCAATTTATATTCCCACCAACAGTGTACTAGTTCTCTCCATGTTCCTGCCAACAGTAGTTATCTCTTGGCTTTTTGGTAAGTCATTCTAACGGGGTGAGGTGATATCTTACTATGGTTTTGATTGCATTTCCCTGCTCATTAGTGATGTTGAGTATCTTTTCATGGACCAGTTGTTTATATGTATGTCTTCTTTGGAAAACTGTTTAGTTTCTCTTCCCATTTTTAAATAGGGCTGTGAGGTTTTCTTTGCTCTTGAATTGTATGAGCTCTTAATATATTTTTGGATATTTGCTGATAGGGTACTTTTGAAAGTTGAAAGCTCTTATATTTTTCTTGGAAAACTATCAAAATGATCACGCAGCCCCTCCAGCCTCTAATGTTATCCTAATTTGACAGGTGAACATTGGTTTAGGGTTGTGATAATTTTCATTTCCCTGACCACTGGTGAAGTGAAGCATTTTTCATGTATTTATTAGCTATTTGTACTTATACGTGTCCTTTGCCCATTTTTCTACTGGGATTTTAATATTTTCTTATTGATTTATATGAGTTTTTAATGAATATTAAGGATAACAACTCTCTGTCATATTTAGTGCATATATTTTCTCCAACCTTGTCATTTGCCTTTTAGTTTTGTTTAGAATGGTTTCTGACATCCAGAAGTTTTACATTTGGTGTAGTCAAATGTATTGATTTTCTTTCCCTTAGTGATTTTTTTTTCCACTGCTTTTATGCTTAGAAAATCCTTTCTCATCCAGAGAGCGAATAAATATCATTGAAATGTTTGAAGCAGCGGAGTGGTATGGGTGGATGATTAATAATAAAATTTACAGATTTGATGTAGTGGCAAAAAAGGAAACTGGGTTAAAATAATTAAACCTTCCTTCTTTATCCACCCCAAACCCAGCCCAAGGTTAAAGTCGGGAATGGCTAGGCATTAAAGAAAAGGACTGGGCAGATTGGGAACAATGGGAGGAGTCTTGAAGGACTAGCAGGAGGTTGGACAGGCAGACAGGGTGAGTTGAATAAGTATGAGGAGGACGTTACATGTTCCAAGGTAAGATCTGAAGGCACGTAGCATGTTTAATTAGACTCTTAGCTGAGACAAAGCAGTGATGGGAGAGGGGATTGAGAAGGGGTCGGGGAAGGCCAGAGGGCTCATAAATCATGTGAAGAGGTTAGGACTTCATTCCGAGAACAATGGTGAACCACTGAAGACAGAATCCAAGTAATTCTTGGTGACTCAGGAGCAAGTCTGCATAGAACTTTGTTTGAGAAGGCACAGTCTCCCAGTCAAAAACAACTAGAAAGAAAGGCCAATGACAGCATCCCACTGACCATGGCACTGGTAGGCGCTCTTTAGAGAATAAACTCTCTTCATCTGGACCAGATGGCGGGCAGACAATATCTGCTCTTATCCTTGCCTTTCCCTCCATTCCTAGCGCTGGGAAAGAGGCTGAGCTTTGGAGGCAGACTGACCTTTCTGGCAGATTCTGACTCTGCCCCTCCAAAGCCATCTCTTTTCCCACCTGTCTGCCTCCCTCCCTTCCACAGATGTCATTGGATCTCTCTTATATGGGCAGAGCAGAGATAAACCACAGAATTTCTGTGCTTGTAAGATTATGGACTGGAGGGAAGAGAGAGATTACTTAAGTGAGTGATTACTTAAATACATAGAAAATTTAAAGTTTTAAAATATTTTAAAAAGAGAGCCAGGATCTTATGAAAGATTATTAGGGAAATGGATTGTGAAGATGTCAATGACTGCTCACTTCTATTGAAAGGGATCTACTCTCTGCAGGGTAAGCAGGAGTTCAGAGATGAAGGTGTGGGGACGCAAGCCACAGTACATGTGAAGGTACCTGGGCGGGAGGACCAGACCTGAGACAGTGCCATTGTGACTGGAGAACAGATGGGACAGGTGACAAAGAGGCAGGAGGGCAATCATGCCAGACCTTGTAGGTCAGGTGGAGGACTTTGATCTTTATCTGGAAAGCAATGTGAATCCATATTCAAATGGCTCATTCAGAGCTGGTAGGTTTGGAGAGGTTTGGAGATAGAGACACAATCAGCTTTGCATTTTGAAAAGATCCTTTTAGTTTCTATCTGGAGGACCAATTGGAGGGGGCCAGGGTAGATTGGGGACACCCAGAGTGGTTGAATCAATCTAGGCAAGAGATGATGGTAACTTGGTCTAGACATGGAGAGGGAGACAGAATATTAGGGGACTGAATAATTTCATAGATACTTAGGAAGTCCAATAAATAGAACTTGATTAAATAAGTTTGGATATGAGACAGCGATGCGACATAATGGGGGTGTCAAGAAAGACTCCTAGGTTTTAGGTTGATGCACACACTTACATTGGAGATCGAAATCACTGGCACAGGAAACACCAGCCAAGGGTCAGGTTTGGGAAAGATGTTGAGGTCATCTGGACTTGAAGGGTTTGAGGTGCATTTGAAATATCTGAGTTGAGTTAGATACAGTGGTTGAAGCGCAGAGAAGGGAAGAGGGTAAGACTTCATTCCAAGAACAATGGTGAGCCACTGAAGATACAATCCAAGTAATTCTTGGTGCCTCAAGAATTTGCCCATTTTTCTACTAGGATTTTAATATTTTCTTATTGATTTATATGAGGTTTTTCATGGATCGTTATTAGAGTTATGGCTTTGGGCACAAAGCTAGGGAAAGAGTATGCAGTGAAAACAGAAGAGGGCCATAAGGAACTCTAACATCTGATTTTGGGACAGTCTAGGCTCTCAGAGAATTATTTTGGTGGTTAAAGGAAATAACATATGCTCAGGGCCTGGCATGTAGTGGGCACCCAATGAATGCTAGATACACTCCCTTCTCTCCTTTTCTCTACTCTGTACCCTTAATTTTATTCCTCTCAATTTTCTGGCTCTCTGTATTGCAGAGACTTAAACCTATTTCTTCCAACTTGAGAGGGTCCCAAGGTACCAGAATGCACACCAGGCAAGCACCCCCTTCTCCAGGATCCAGTCTTGGAGCCCCTGGCCCTTGAGGGTGCTCCCACACTGAATGCAGGTACTTTTGGCTTCTGTTTAGTCAACTAATGACCAGCACTCGGCTAACCAAATTTTTTGGTGCACTCAACAACATCTACCTTAGAATGAATGATAATTGTGCTACCTCACATTTCTAGAACATTTTGTATTTTTTTCAGAGGAATTCTACAATGATTATCTCAGTTGTTCATCACAGGATTTTTCATTATGAAATGCATTTGCATACTTTATTTACCTGTAATCCTTTCCCCACTGCTAAAACAATAGCATTTTCAGCAAAAACACCTATGGATGACTTATGAATTCATTCTTATTCTCAAGCTTGCTTTCTCTTGTTTTCCCATTTTACTTTTAAATCATCAGTTTTATCTTCCTGGCCATATTCCTTTCACATGTTTCAGTGATTCCCAAAAATCACAATTCTGTATTTTTGCTTCGTGTTTCGGCATTTGCCCTCTTCATCTCTTCTTCACCAGCTCCAAGGCTCTTGCTCTCAAAGCATGGTTCTGGCACACGCAGAAGCTCACGTTTTTGACACCTCTTCACCTCATTTTTCTCCGAGGCAGGTGCTTTTTACTCTGCATTGAAGCTTCCTATTAGCTTTAACTAGACATTTGTTATGCAAGACAACCTGGGATTGTGAGGCCTCATCCAAGTTCTTCTTTTGCTCCTGGCATCTGAAAGATTCTTTTCCGCTTCTCAGACTTAGATCACTCATTCCCCGCCCCGTCCTTCCCCAAACTCTCCAGCTTTCCTTTCCTGTAATCTCGATCTCCATCTTCTTTAAGCTTTGTCCATCCTCTCATTAAGCATGTGTTGAACATGTGTCGAATACCTACTATGAGCCAGTTTCTGAACCCCAGTAGGGATTCAAAGACCCACAACCAGGCCCTTGACCTTGTAGTGTCCATAGTCTGTAACAGTGGGCTGCAAACCTGATGGCACATTTGAATCACGTTCTGAGGAATTAAAAAAAAAAATACAGATGCCAAAGTCCCAGCCCTAGAGATTCTGATTTAATTGGTCTTGAGTGAGATCCAAGAATTGTTATTTTTAAAAAGAGATTCTAATGTGCAGTCAGGGGTGAGAACAACTCACTGGCCTAATGGATGAGACAGATGTGTAAACAAGTGATTTTAATACAACATGAAGGCAGAAGTAAGCACAAGAGAATGCCCTTCAGTCTGGGAGAAAGCAGGGGCATTTACCTGGAATGGATGAATCAGTGTCCATTCCGTTCTAGGAAACCTTTTCCCAGTGCACTCCCTCCCTCCCATTTTCCCAGCACAACAGACAAAATGAAAGCCTCTCTTGCAGAAGCTTTTCCTTCTGTTTTCTTTGAGAAAGGAAAGTAATTATGAGCATGGATTTACAAGTGAAAGTAAACTGGATCCATTGCCCAATCTTGTTACTTGCTAGCTGTGTGACCTTAGATAAATTGCTTAACCACTCTTAAATCTCAATGCTCTTGTCAAAAAAAATGTGTGTGTGTGTAAGTGTGTGTGTGAATTGAGGAGCTGACATATGTGCTTAGTTCATGGCCTTACAGCAAGCAGTCGGTCTGTAGCTATGTATACTTTGAAGCATCACACACACTAATGATGTGCGCGTGTGTGTGTGTGAGAGAGTGATGCTTCTTCCAGCAGCAAGTACTCAAAGGATCTTCTGTGTTTGCCTCCCTGCAGTCCCTGCCTGCCCCAGGGTGACACTTCACTTTGTCGACCTTCATGCACTTTCCGAAGACTGGTATAGCCTCCTTGTGCATTTTCCTCTCCAGGTTCTTTCTTTTTGCTTCCTAGGTGTTTTGCATTTTCTTTGCTTCCAAGGAACTTTCTCCTGGCCCATTGGTTCAAAGCTTATTGTGGATCTGAACATGAGGACTCCCCCACAATGCCCTCCGTTGGCCCTGTTGTGATTTTTCTCATGATGGCCGAGGGGTTTGCTGCCCTCCATCATAGCACCCCAGCCTTTCTTGCACCCGCTCTGTGCATTGGCGTAGTGACTTGCTGCGCTTGTGGTGGATCTTGTCTCAGTGGTGGGCTCCAGCTGATCAGAGTCACCCACTGGCCTTTCTAAACGTGTTATTTCCCCAACTAACTGTCTCCTGTTCCTGGGACAGGAGGCTAAAGGCTTGGTCTTGAAACAGTTTAGACAACTCCATAGCTAGACCCCGAGTCCCTGGGGCCCTGTCTTGGTTTTATTGCTTGGTCAGTTCTGGATTTATGAGGTTAGCAGGAAACCACATTCTCCTGCTACAGCCCCCACCCGCTTGCAAGGCCTTTCCTTGCCCCTGCAATAGTTATAAATGCTGCTCTGTTCATGCTTTCTCACTGGGCTCTACCCTCATCTGTCTCTTCTTTTCTTTCAGCTCCACAGGAGCCCTCTGATCTCCTTGCATTTCCTAGGAATATCTGCACATGGCACTCCACTCCTGCCTGCCAATCTTCTTTCTCTCCTAATTACCAGGATTCTGTTTACATAGACATCTCACTTTGCTTCTTTGATTTTCTTTTTAGTGATTTCAGTTTCAATCCATCATCTTTACCATTTCTCTCTCTGCTCCTCATTACTTACTTCCACAAATGGTATTATGTTTTGCTCCTTGCAACTTTTGGCTTTATTCTTTCCTGTGAGAGTCTTTCTTCTCTTGCCATTGCAGGTGACCCAGTCCCACTAGGCTTATGAAAGGTGAACATGACTCCCTGTTGTTGATCACTGTGGTGGCTGCTAATTTCCCCTGACCTCAGGGGACTGGGTGTGCCCTCCATGCCCTCGCTTCCCCTGTGGGAGGACACGTCCCATGTCCACTTTCTGAGGTCCATGGGCCTCTTAAACCATGCCTGGGACTACTGTAGTAACTACTATTCCTGTTTTGAAATATGAAAACAAGACTTAGCATGGAGGAAAATGAGGCTTAAGAAGGGGAACTCACTCTTCAAGCCCCTCCTGCCAGTAAGGGAAGAACTGTGAGGAGAATGCTTGCTGAGGAAGTCCCACTCCATTGCTTGTCCCAGGGTTCCACCCTGGAAATGAAAGCCTGGGAGTGGGGGTGGGGGCTGGGAGGAGCTCTGGATCCGCTCTCAGGAAGCTGCCATAAAACCCCTATTGATGTGAGCTTACTGGTCTGTGGGATTCATGTTTTAGAATGACAGATGAATCACTGCGTTTCTATTTATTTTTAGGATGTCAGCCACAGGGACTCTGGGAACAAAATTCAGCAACATCTTTCCTTGTGCACTAAATAGAAGGCATGCAACTTCTTTCCAGTGACTTCTGGTTTGAACATGGCTTTGGTCAAACTTCTGTGTTCTATTTGGATGAGATTCCAAGCTATGGGGCCAAACCCTATCATTCCACTTGACTTCAACCTGGTGCTTCCTGCACGGGTGGAATCAGGGGTGTGTGTGTGTGTGTGTGTGTGTGTGTGTGTGTGTGTGTGTACAGGCAGGCACAGGTATGCACATTTAAGGGTAGGGGCTTGCTGTTATTTAAACTATGATTAATCCTATTAAAGTTGGTTTTGGAGAGTGGGGTCCTTGGGTTAACTCTGGGAAAAGTTTCACCAGAGCTCTCCTTTCAGCAGCACCAGCGAGTTTCCCAGGCGAGTTCTCCACAAGACAGAGGTGTTAGCTATATCCAAAAGGACAGGTTTATTATAATAGGGAGGGGAGGGTAAAGAATGCTTGCACAGACATAAGTGGGCAGAAAGAGCTGCCCCCAAAGGACAGGTTTGCTAAGAGAGGTCTGCACAGTCTCAGGTGGATGGCCTTGGGAGGAGCTACCCCTGCTGCTTTGCAAAGGGAGAGAGTTGATGGCAAGGAGCTCCTGCATGGGCCAAGTTGGGTGGAAGGGCTGCGGCTCCAGTTCTACAAAAGGAAACAGTTGGTGAAGAAAAACACCGGCACAGTCTCAGGTGGGTAGAAAGGCTCCTGCCTCTTGTCAGTGCAGAAATTGCCCTGATAAGGTCTTCTCTTTGGGAGGGGCTCATTCCTTTGTGGAGTTGTTAATGTTTGTTAATTATGAATAACTACAGAATTTGAAAAGGACCAGAGATTCTCCAGTGTCCCTCAATCTCCACATACTCATCCTTTTCCTTTGGCCTGCGCTTCCTGATACTCTCTCTAGCAGTCTGAAACTTGCTCTAGAAGTTGGCACCTGATGGTTTTTCTTTTGTATAGGTGTTAATCACTTCTACCCCCACCTTTGGGGCTAGCTCCCAGCATGGCATGAGTCAGTTTCTGGTCTAGTGGTGCCTCCTTTCCAACTTTTTTACTCTTAAACTTCATCACTATGACTTATAAGGGGAGACCTGTTTTGATGGGCAAGAGGGAACGTTTTTCCTCTCCTCACTTTGTTTTAGAAATTCCACTCAAGCTTTCTCTTCGCAGGAAAGAGTATGTGTGGTGTCTCTCTGTTCCGTTGTTTATTCCTGCAGGAGTGTCTCGAATGACTGGACAGAGGCTGACACTGGCCGCCTGCCTTTCACAAGTGTACAGGGTGATCGTGATTTCATAGCAGGAACCAGGCCAGGCGCCCCTCAGGTGGTTCTCCCACCTTCTCTTTTACTCGCATTGTGGAGCACATTTGGTCCAGGGCAGGGCTACCTTCTAGAAGGCGTGTACCTTCATTCATATAGTTTCCTCTGTAGGCCTGCTCATGCCTCTGCAAGCAAGCTGTGGGTTGTGTGTTGGGGATATGCTCCATCCTTAGTTTTGGGAGTTAGGAAGTTCCTCTCCTTCATGCAACATGATTCGGATTCTCCAACACCGACCCTAGGGAGACCCGTTGCTTTAGAGCTGGCACCTAGCAGAGCACGTGGATAAACTTGATATTTGCTTCCCATTTGGCTTATGCTCCTGCTGTGTCTATGCATAGATTTGATCTCATCAGAACTTGGAGGAGAGGAGAGCAACATGCTACTAACATCTGTCATCATGGGAAAGGCGTGATAAAAAATCTTAGCAGCATAAACAGTGTGAGAATGTTCACACGTAAACCCATTAAGTTCAGAAACACACA